AGGTCCTCAGTTCAATCCCTCATACCGCAAAAAAAAAAAAAAAAAAGACTTAAACACCTTTCTGTTAGATACATGTTCCCTTAACCAACTCTATTGCATCAAACTTTTTTTTTCTTAGACTGCCAAAGATGAATAAGTTTGATAATTACAAAATTACAAAAGCACAGGTCTGTGACTCAATGAGGTGCTTGCCTAGCGTGTGCAAGATTTTGGGTTAAATCCCCAGTATGACACACATGCACACACAGAAAATTACAAAACACATATCTTTTAATTAGCAAGACTACTTCTGTGAATTTATGTTGGTATATGGACATTTATCTAAATTATGAACATGGCTAAAAATGCACCATTTTTTAAAAATGTATACATTTGACAAACTTCATATAAAAATAACAATAATTAAAATGTCCAAAGTTAGCAAAGGAATCAATTCAATTCGATCATACTTCTTTTTTAATTCAGTGATGTTAATAATAAGACATTTACAGATATTGATTCATGTTTATATTCATTAAATAATCCTTGATTATTAAAAATACATAAATAAAAACACTAAACATAGAAGAAAATTAAGATAGCTATTTTCAGCTACTGTTGGCTATAATTTTTTTGTTTGTTTCTTTTTTGGCTTTTTTGAGATAGGGTTTCACTATGCCATTCAGGTTGGCCTCAAACTCACAGCGATCCTTCTGCCTCAGCTTCTTGCGTGCTAAGATTATACGCGTGTGCTCCCACACCTGGCTATAAAAGTTTAACTGTATAATTAGAATAAAAATATAAAGTGTTCCTTTACACCATTATACTAACTTTTTTTTTTGGACAGGGTCTCACTATGCAGTTGGGCTGGCCTTGAATTCACTAAGTAGCTACAGCTGGCCTCAAACTACAGCAGCCCTTTAGCCTCAGCCTTCTGAGTGCTGTATTACAAATGTGCACCCCTACATCCAGCTTATATCAACTTTATTTTATTTATTGATTTATTGGTTTTTTGAGACAGGGTCTTGCCATGCAGTTCAGGCTGACCCTGAATTCACTTTATAGCCCAGGCTGGCCTCAAACTCATGGCAATCCTCCTGCCTCAGCCTTCTGAGTGCTGGGATTACAGGCATGCACCACGCCACCCGGCTTTATATTAATTTTAAATTGAAAATACTTAAAAGGAAATCTTAAGTATACCTCGGTACAGTGGGGCATGTGTGTAATCCAAATACTCAGGAGGCTAAGGCAGGAGGATCACAAGTTCAAGGCCACCCTTGGCTACATAATGAGTTGAAGATACCCTGTCTCAAAAAAATTTAAAAAAAGAAATCTAAGGATAGAAGCTACAGATTGATAAATATATTTAGCACAGTAATAGGCTAAACTGGAGCTAAGTTAAATTGGAAAGGGGAGGGACTATATTCTTATATACTAGTGATACCTCAGAAACACCAGCAAAGTCCAAAAAATGGTAATTAAGCCAAGGGTGGTGAAACATGCCTATAATCCCAGCACTCAGGAGGCTGAGACAGGAAAAGTGCCACAAATTTGAGGCCAGCTTAGGGTACACAGTGAATTCCAGGACAGACTGACATACATAACAAGACTCTATCTCAATTTTAACATGTATCTATTTAATGTAAATTTTTTTTTTTTTTTTGAGACAGGGTCTTATTGTGTTGCCAGGCTAGTTTTGAACTAATGAGCTCAAGTGATCCTCCAGCTGCAGCCTTTTACATAGCTTGGACTACATACCCACACAGCCAGCTTAATTTTTACACCAGAATTTATTTCACATATACCAAGGAAGTTACTTGAATAATAAAATGCTAAAGATCAAAGTAAGATCTGAAAAAATAAAAACTCTTTCTAGTTAGAATTTTAAGATGCCAAATAATTGAAACATATATAAAATGCTTAGCGTTTTTTTTGGCATCTACTAACAACTCCAATTTTAGTTTCTATTTTATACTTTCTCTAATTTAAGGTTATAATGCAATATCAAATTCATAACAAATATTTTATAAAATTTGATACAAATGAAAGTAAAATGTACCAGAAAACCAAAATGAACACAGATACTAAATAATATATCATTGTTTAATAAGCACTGATAAATCTGCCCTAGAAGGTTTTTTAAATCTCCTATTTCCAGGTGTGGTGGCACATGCCTGTGATTCCAGCACCAGGAGGCAGGGGCAGGAGTACTGCTGGGAGTTCAAGGCCTGTCTGGACTAAATGAGTTCAAGCCCAGCCTGAACTACTTAGGGATGCCCTGTCTCAAAAACTAAACAAACAAACAAACAAATCATGAAATTATACCAAATATACAAAAATGTTTAAAATAAAATAGATTTGGACAAATCAAAACTTAATCCATACCACTTCATCCATTACAAAAAGTCCAGGCTGGTGGTTCAGCTCAGTGGTAGAGCACTTGCAAAGCACACACATGCCCCTTGGTTAGATTCCCTACCCCAAGGAAGACAGAAGAAAAAAGCTGTGAAGAAGCCAGTGATGCATGCCTATAATCCCAACTACTCAGGAAGCAGAGGCAGGAGGATCCAAAGTTCAAAGCCAGCCTGGGCAACATAGCAAGGCCCTGCCTTAAAAAAAAAAAAAAAAAAAAAAAAAAAAAGAGCTGGGCTATAGCTTACTGGTAGAGCTAGAGCACCCCTGGGTTCAGTCCTAAGAATTGGAGGGGAAAAAACTATGAAGAACATTATAATATTCTATTTTTCTAAAGAGGAAATCTTGACTAGTGAAGAGACAATTGGATCTGAATACTTTAAAAATTCATTATACAATAAATACCAAAAGGAAAGCAAGCAAATGGGAAACATCCATATGACATTTGGAAATTTTTTTGTTTATTTATTTGGTATCAAACTCAGGCCCTTGCTTGTCAGGCAGACTGCACCACTGAGCTATATACCCAGACCAACATTTATAAATTTAAAAAGAGATACTAGTTATGATACAGAAAGAAGTGATGGTATCTTGAAAATAATGAGCAAGAAACATTCTTCTGATACAGTATCTTTAAATGTACTTCTGTTGAAAAACAAGACTTTATTGCTTTATTCAACTACTTGAGTTTGTGTCTTTAATCGTTTAAATGAGAATTGTGGTCACCAAAGCAATTTAATGAAGTAAAAGATATAAATAAATTACAAATGGCTTTATCCCCCAAGGCTTTATACAGTAAAATGATTTTCTATAAAAAGTGATAGAAATATATAGTTGGTACACTAAGTCTTTCTGATAAGGCATCAAATTAATAAATTAATTCCTTAGTTAAAATTTAAATTCTTTCCCATGGCCTACAAGGCTTTATATAATCTCTTGCTTACTGTGTGAAAACACTTGGACTTTTCTATCCCTGGTTCACCATCCTCCACCCACTCTGATCTTTTTTTTTAGTTTCAAGAACATGCTATGCACTTTCCTTCAGAAATATGTTCTTTTGTATATGCTGCTGTTTATCTGTGTGGGAAGCTCCCTTTCTCACTCTTCATATGGTTTACTTTTCAATCTTTAAGTCTTGAATCTACCTTACCTGATAACTTTACCTAAAGTGAATTTCCCCTATGTTTCTCCAGCACCCTGTTGTTCCTTAGGGGCCTTACTACCTTTTGTGTTTTATTTGCTTTTGTCAGTCTCCCTCACTAGACCATTACACCATGTAAATCTCACCTACTCCATCTCCCCAGGCCAACTACAGAGACAACAAATGTGCTCAATAAGTTTTTTTTTTTTTTTAGTACTGGGTATTGAACTCACGATTGTGTACTTGCAAGGCAGGCACTTATGCCACTGAGCTAAATCCCAGCCCAAATATTTCTTAAATAAATACTGAAAACCTCAATATCAGATAATAAAGGAGAACTCCAAAATTGATATATTAATCCAAAGAAATATTACACAATATTCAAACGAACTAATATGGAAGCAATAAACACGAAATAAAGATAAATGAAACAAGTAAACCACAAAATAGTATGTACACATACTAGTATTATGTAAAAAAAAAAAGCACAATGCTCTTATGTAAACCATTTTTATAACTTAGCCAAATTAAATATAAACTGAAAGATAAAAAATTAAAAATATCTATTGCATCAAGGTGATAAAATTATGTGTAAAATTTATCTTTTGAATTTACTTTAGGCCAGGTGTGGTGGTGCATGCCTATAATCTCAGCACTTGGAAGGCTGAGGCAGGAGGATTGCTGTGAGTTTGAGGTCAGCTTTGGTTACATAGGAAGTTCAAAGTCAGCCTGAACTACACAGCAAGATCCTGTCTCAAAAAATATGTATATATACTTGTAAGGTTATTAGTCTTTCAAAATATTTTACAATGGGAGATAGTGAAAAAAGAAATAAAAATCACTCATCTCATCACCTAAATAACAGTGAATGAATAACATATTGAGCAAATATACTTAGTCCTCCTTTCTTCATATACTGCCAAAAAAAAATGCCTACTTCAGCAGTTCGCCATAAAAGAAATGTCTAGAAGCTAAGAGCCACCACTTTGAGCACCTCTTGTAAATGTAGAGGTCAAAGGTAACTTCTATTAATCACATAACTCAGTATGTTTAATATTAAAATACTTATATAGATTTTTCTTTTCCTGGTGCATGTATTTTTTGGCAGACTCAATATATGCAAAAACTATATGTAAAAACAAAATTAGAACCATACTATGCGTACTACTTTTAACCTGATTTTTTTCATTTAACAAGTGGTGGACAGGTTCACTAGCATCAGAGCCTAAACAACCTGCAGCTGTTTAACTCAACCAGTAAGCATTTCCTAGGCTTGCCTACTGTATCTGTAAAACAAAGCAAATAATGGCATGAGGTGAGGATGGATGCTTCTTCACAACTATAACAGAGTGTGGTGAATTTAAAATGTATAGAACTAATGCAGGAAAATCAAAGAATGAAATATACGAATCTTAATACCCAAAACAGTCTCCCAAGAATGTCATCAGGATGATAACATACAACTCACACCATATCCCCAGGAGAAGTCCGAACTGCCTTCTGTAGAGATCGCTGTGCCTGTATAACTTGGAAAAGCAGACCTTGAATTTCCAGTGTCAGTTGATGTAAAAGGTGATTCTTGGGTGATGTCAGATTCACTAAATGCACAATTTGGGAAAATTAAAGAAAAAAGACAAATTCTCATATATCCTCAAGTTTCTGCAGTATTAACTACTCAGCAGCTTAGCAGATGAGACAAAAATAAATGCAGATCTTGAAATTAAAGCATCTTTTAAAAGCCTTACCTAAATTCCACAGAATTGATGGCATTCATTCCAAATAATCCTAGTCATAGTTTATGATGAATATTTTAATATTCCACTTATAACATATAATCTTGACAACTAAAGATATTTCAGAGCTGGGTATGGTGGTACATGCCAGTAATCCCAGCATTTCGAGAGGTTGAGGCAGGAGGATCACATATTTGAGCCCAAGCTGGGCAACTTAGCAAGACCCTGTCTCAAAATAAAAAATCATAAAAGGGCTGGGGATGTCTTTCAATATAAGGTCCTGGGTTCAAGTCCCAGTACTGGAAAACAAAAAAGAGATTTCAGAAATATTAACAGTAGTAAATGAACTTATGTGGTACTTTTATAGTTTACCAACAACTTTTACGATAGTAACCTCATTTTATCCTTAATACCACTTAGAGATGTACAGCTCAATTAACTCCATATAAAAAACATACAATCTGACATTTAGTTTCATGTTTTAAAACTAGATTTATGATTTTACACTTTTTTCATGACACAAAACTTCTCAGAACCCTCTCTGAAGTAACAGCCTCCTCTATGCTATTTCATATAGTAACTGTAGTTAACACTTACTCAATGCCAAACATTATGTCAGATATTACATACTTTATCTCATTTAGATTCACAACACTAAAAAAGGTATATTATAAAGTAAATAACTTGCTCAATGTTACCCTGCTAATAAATGTCAGAGCTAGGGTTAAAAATCCTAGGACTCCACCTGGCTCCTCATTCTTAACTATTTCAGAATACTATTTCTCAGAGGTTAGGTAATAAGTATGACACTGTTATTATTAGTTGTTTCAGAGTGAAAACTAAATGGTACTGAAAACTTATTTATTTATGGACTGATTTTTGAGATGAGGTCTTATTATGTTGTTAAGTTGGCTTTGAATTCCTGGGCTCAAGTAATCCTCTTGCCTCCAAAGGTGATAAAAAAATCTTATTTTTATTTTATCAGCATAGGCTTGATACCAAAAAACACAACCTTTGCCACTAGCAAGTACAATTATCAAACAAGTACACTTTGAGTTATTACCTTTGAGAACTTGTGTCTTTTTCATGACTGTCACTGGCAGAGGAAGATTCATCTAGTTGCTCTGGAAGAGGATGATAATCAAAAGCATGTTTTGTTATTCCTTTCCTGTGAAAAATAAAGTTATATTTCCTGTAAGGAGGAGATAAATACTTTTTAGTAACTTAATGCAGACGTTAGTCACTCTGGAACTGTGTTGGCCACTGGGATAGTCACTAGCCACTAGCAGTTAAAATGTGACTTTACTGGTCCTGACTGTGTTTAAGTGTACAATACTTTGGGTTTCAAAGCCTTAGAACAACAAGATTGTGCAGTGTCTCATTAATATGATTATCTTGATTATATATTGATATATACTGGGTTAAACAAAATATATTAGAATTAATTTCAATGCAAATTGAAAATGCGATAAGAATACTACAATAAGAAATAAAGATAATACCAAAGTCAGGTAAGATGTAGAGTAATTTGGATGTCTCATGATATGCTGGTGAGAATGCTAGGTAGTATAGCTACTCTGGAATAGTTTGACAATTTTTTGAACCAGGAATCAAACTCAGTACCTTGCACTTGCCAGGCAGGCACTTGTGCCACTGAGGTGTATCCTTGGCCCAGTTTGACAGTTTCTTATAAAACAAAACACATACATTTACCAAAAGACCTAGCAGGTGCATGTTTGGGCATATAAATCCAGAAAAATAAAAACTTACATTCACATAAAAACTGTATACAGATTTTCACAGCAGTTGAATAAGAACTGAAAACAACTTCAATGTGTGAATAGTTGTACTCTGGTAATAGGATATTATTCATCAATTTATTCTGTTTTGTGTTTTGGGCATCAGAAATCACACTCAGGTGGGGCTGGAGGTTTAGCTCAGTGGCATAAGCGCCTGCCTTGCAAGCAGGCAGTACTGAGTTTGATCCACGGTACCAATAAAAAAAAGACAAAAAAAAAAAAAAAAAAGAAAAGAAATCACACTCAGGATCTTTTTTTTTTTTTTTATCGATACCGGGGATCAAACTCAGGACTGCCTGCCGCTGAGCTAAATCCCCAGCCCCCCACACTCAGGATCTTGTGCTAGTCAGGAAAGTGCTTATGCCTGCAGAGCTATATCCCTAGCTTTATTCATCAATTTACAAGTAAACTGTTAGGACTGGATGAGGTGGTGCACACTTGTAATCCTAGTACGCAGGAGGATTGCTGTGAGTTTGAGGCCAGCCTGGACAACAAAAGTGAATTCAAGGTCACCCTGTACTACACAGTGAAACCCGGCCTCAGAAACAAACAAAACAAAACAAAAAAAACACCCTAAAAAGAACTACTGATACATGTAATAACCTCAATGGATCTCAAAGTGGGCAGACCTAGTGAAAAAAACCAAAGGCAACTGCAAAAAGTTATATACTATAAGTAACATTCCATTTATATAACACTTACAAACAGCACAATTATAGTGATAGAGAACAGATCAGTAGTTGCCAGAGAATGGAGATAGAGTGGGTATGACCATAGGGCTACACAATGAAGTTTCGTGTGGTGATGAAACACTTGAACCAGCCACTTTGGGGGGGGGGTACTGAAGATTGAACTCATTACCTCATGCTTGCCAGGCAGGCATTATCTCTGAGCTATATCCCCAGCCCACTGGTGATGAAATAAATGTTTATCTTGACTGTAGCAGCAGCTAAAAAATGGGACCAAACTACATATAATTATGTTCAAACACACACGGAATGGATATAAATCTGGTGAATACTGAGTAAGGTCTGTAGTCTACCTAGACTAGTATTGTACTCATGTCAGTTTCTTTGCTTTATATTACCTAATTATATTACCTAAAATTAATTGTTATCATTAGGAGAAAGCTGGGGGAAGAGTTCTTAGGACTCTGTATTGGGTTTTTGTGGGGGTTTTTTTGTTGTTCTTTTTTGTACTGGAACTGAAAGTAATGTTTTTCCAACTCCTGTTGTGTTTAATTTTTCAAAATAAGAAAGTTAAAAGTTCAGATTTTTTATGTGATGTTAAAAAGTTAAAAATGACATACGTAGCTTATACTTCTATTGGACACTGCTGCTCTGGAATTTTTATTATCTGCTGGACCTGTGCATTAGAATAAACTGGGGTCTTTTATATTTTCCAGTCCTATTTATCTACATAGACTTTACTTTCCAACAAATTCTGCAAACAAATTTAGGAGACACGATAGGTTAAAGCCTTAGCCTCCTGAATAACTGAGATTACAGGCACTAGGGCCACTAGGCCCAGCTTCACGCTGCAGTCTTTAAATCTGGGATCTTAATCTATAAAATATGCAAATTACGTTCTTGATCGGATTTCCCGGCGGCCAAAGGATTAAATACACTAACATATGCTTGCTTTTTTGCATGGTGTTTGACACCAGATGTATTCAACTTCAATGTAGCTCTCAGGTATTAATAACTTTCCCAGTTGTCAATGACCATTGACAGTCTGGTCCGAAGCACTGCGGGACCTACAAATGCCTTAGGAGACCCAGACCCTAAATTCAGTTAGCACGACTCAAGAGGAAGTTCACTCTTAGTACTACATAGTAAGGGTGACACGCCCTCAACTGGAAATGGGAGGGAAAGAAGTAGTGTTCGCCTGGGCTGGAAGGAAACAATTCCAGAGAATATTTTCTTTCCCCAGAACTGAAAAAGGAGCAGTCCCCGAGCGCCCGCGGCCCGCCTCAGCCTCCCCCGGCCCGTGCTAGGGTTGGCTGAGCAGCGCACTCACAGCTCCAAGCTCTGTGGCACGGCTTTCCGAGTGTATCTGGAGATCATCCTCCTCCTCCTCCTGAGCCCGGGCGGGTACGCCAGCATGGGGGCCTCCGGGCCCGGCGCTCTCGCCGGCTCCGGCTCGGCCCCCTCCTGCCACCTACCGGCCCCGTCTCGTCCCGTCTCCTAGACTCCGGACAGCCACGGCCCCAGGGCGCCCACCTCTCTTGGCCTGGGACTTCCCAGCTTTCCTACGAGAACGGAAGTGACGTAGACATCCGGGCGCTACCCAAATAGTTCCGTCGGCGCCAGGCAGGACAGTTAATAAGGTTCCGGGGCCTGGCGGGTTTTAAGATTTTGTAGCAGGACTTCCGCTACTCTCCAGTGTTCCAGGGAGCGTCGGGAGCCGTCCCGCTTCAGTTGTTGACGGTTGATGGTAGTTCCCGAGTCACAGTGGCTCAGGCGACCCAGGAAAGGTGCCCTGGCAGAGACCCACAGAAGAGGACCTAAAACTGTAAGAGGAGTTGGCTTCATTTTGTCAGATGGAAGGAGAGAGCTTACTTTGGGTAAAGAGTCTGGGACTCCGTTAGGCTCTCTGCTGCTCGGTTACTTTCTGTGCATTCAGAGTTCTCGTTTGTACAGTGAGGGGTTACCCTGAGTTAGTCAAGTGTAGTTTTGACGCTGTATATTCCCCATACTAAGATGTATTTGGCGTTATAAGGTGTGTGGACAATATTCTATCCTGTTTTAAACGGCAGACTGATTTAGTCTGGGATGAGTGGTGGCTGGATGGAAGATGCAGGCTCATTATTAGCCCATTAGAAAGGCAAATACTAAGTTTAAGCATCCAGATCGCAGAGTTAGTATCTAACCAGCGCAGTGCCTGCCTGTACCAAGCAAATTATTTTGAAATGAAATAACGAGACATGGATATTTTGTAGTTTTAAATTCTACTGTGCCTTATAGTGTTAGTAAAGGGAGAAATTTAAATTCTGTAGAGCGATAACAATTCTAAAGCAGGGAGGGATTTTAGAGATGATAGAGTAACACTTCCATTCTACAATTAGGGAGAAATCTCTAGAAAGAGAAAGTACCCAGAATTATGCAATTAGTTAATGACAGAACTGGGACGCTTGATAGTAAACGGTGGATGTTGGTGTTGTGTTGCTCACGGTGTGTTACATCACTGCTAGGATAAGGGCAAAAGCATTTATTTATTTGAAAGACAAGGATTCTGTTGCTCAGGCTGGCCCTGAATTTCTGGTCGCAAGTGGTTCTTCTACCTAGTCTACTCAGTAACTGGGACTATATGTGTGCACATTACTCCCAGTCATATTTAAAATCTTATACTTATTTATTTGGAAATGTGACACTGGATTTCCATTAACCATATATTAAAGGTTTCCTTTAAACATAACTTTTGGTATAAAGAACAGGTTTTTAAGTATAAAATGTCATTAAATGAGAAATATTAAGTAAATATACAGTGGTATATGATCAAGGCAAAAACCATGATGATGGTATGTGGATACCAGTTTTAGAAAACATCATCAATGTAATCACCTAGAAGAGCTCAGGGAATCAGATGTTATTTGTACATTGTTCTTTATGGTCTGTGTCATTGAAACTTTACTTGTAGATTTCAAAGAAGAATGGAGGAAAATCTAATGCTTGCTACAGTGGAAGACACTGTGGAGTACCACCTGTTCTTGATACCAGATAAATCAAAGGACCCAGAAAAACCCAGAGAGATTCTTGAGAAGTATATTGAAAAAATAATGACCCAGTTTGCACCAATGCTGGCTCCATATATCTGGCAGAATCAACCTTTTAATCTCAAATATAAACCTGGCAAAGGTAAATAGTTCATTCATTGTTATGAGAAATGTTCATATCTTCAACTTTTTACCTTAATGGTGCTTGCCCATATTCAGTTAAGCCAAAATCTTAATGTTAAATTCATGTTGATAAAAATTATAGTATTCATTGCCTTAGGAACTAGCTTATACTAAACATTAAATTCATGGCTATTATTTTGAACTTTACTCACTGTATGTACTTCAGTACCTATGCTAAACAAGCTTATATATGGCCTCCTTAATGTAGTTCCTTTTGCTGTTACTCAATGCTTATTTTTTTTTATACTTTTTTGTTTTTTGGTACTGGGGATCAAACTCAGGACCTCATGCTTGCCAGGTATGCACTTGCCGCTGAGCTAAACCTCCAGCCCTCAGTGCTTATCTTTTTTTGTCTTTTTGAAACAAGGTCCCGAACTATACAGTTTGGGCTAGTCTTGAGCTCACTCGCTTTGTAGCCCAGGATGGTCTCAAATCACAAGATCCTCCTGCCTTAGCCTCCCGAGTGCTGGGATTACAGGTGTGTACCACTATGTCCAGCTCTCAATGCTTAACTTTTTTTGTTTGTTTAGCATCAGGGATCAAACTCCCAACCTCATACTTGCCAGGCAGGCACTTATGCCCCTGAGCTAAATCCCTGGCCCCTCAATGCTTATCCTGATAATATATTTAGTAGGCTGCCTTGTTTCATATAGTTGTTCTGATAAGAATCTAAGAGTGAGTTTGCTTTGCTCATAAAGAGAAATAATTGGGTTTTATAATCAGTTTTTGCTACTCATAAGCATTTTGAGCTTTCTTTACTGACTGACTGTGTTTTGGTGTTTGAGACCTAACCCCTAGCAAAATATGGAACTTGCTGTATCATTTCTTGCAGCTTTGTGAAAACAGTGACCATGGCTGTGCTCACACATAAATCCTGTAGGGTCTCCTTGTAGGATCTGGAGGTTGGCGTCTTGTGATACTATTAGTTTGGCACACAATTAGTTTGGCTTATCTGTTGTTGACCAGCAAGTGCAACATAAGTTTTCTGGTATTGATTTTCCTGGACATATTAATTGGAACACTTGTGACATTTATTGACAAGAACGCTGTGACAATAACACAACAGATCTTTTTTTGATTTTGTTTTTTTGGTATCAGGAATTGAACTCAGGACCTCATGGTTGCCTAGCAGGCACTATGCCCCGGAGCTAAAGCCCTGCCCCTGCAGCACAGTACATCTTATCTATGCTCTAGAAAATAATTTTTACCCTGTGTTTTATCATTTTTAGTGGTATTGTCATATACCCAGTTATCCAAGATAGTTATTATTTCAAAATCATACCATGTCCAGGAAGGCATTAAATCTTGGTGTGATAATCTTTGACCTAATGATCCCTTTTCTGTATTATTTAGTTTTGGTGTAGGCCTAACACTAACTCTAACCCTAACCCTAGTAGTTAAGTGGAGATTTTTCTGCTCACTACCCAGTTGAACAGTTGCGATCCAGTTTCAACTGAGGAACCTTTGGGTATCCACCAGAGAGTAGCCTTAGCCAGTTTCTGTTGGTCTGTACAAACAAAGATCTGACTGCAAAAGAGAATCCAGCTACCTGTCTAGTCAACATTCCACTGGCCATTGGCTTCAGTGGAAATGGACCAGAATGTGCTGGGGAAACCTATCCTCTGCTTTAAGAGTGGCAGCTGCTCTAAGAGCTTTTAACTAGGGGGCAGAGTAACCACTGTTTATCAGAGTCCTATAAAGGATAGATTAAAATCCATCATGTAGCACTTTATAAGTTTATAGTACAAGTTTCAGAGCCCACAACTTATTATCAAAGTATTTTTCTATGCACATAAATGATTTCTAGACATAGAAAAGGAGAGAGAAGGTTGGAGATCCTCCCCTAGGTTAAGTGTGTTTTGGTCCTGTAAGTGGTGCTTTGCAAATAGATAGCTCTTTCTGGTTTCATTCAGAAGTCAGTTCTTTCCAATGTGTGCCAGGTTCAGCCTCCTGAGGGAGACCTGCCCAGAACACTAAGCCAGGTCATGGCTTTTGTGTGTGTTCTCCTGGTCAGGCAAAATTCCAACATCTTATCTGACCTAGAGATGGGGTATGTGGCCCTCATCTAAAATGACTTCCCAGTCTTTGGCATTAGCAAATGCTCATTTTCTACAGAGATTCTTTTCTTTCTTTTCTTCTTATATTCATGGTGAGTTGCGGAAATAACTTTCCCATGATTTGTCATTCTCAGACGGGAAAGGTAAGAATGGGGAAATCTCAAGAGCTAAGATTGCCTCCTCACCAACAGACGATCAGACCAAAAAGGAAACTGAGGCAGAATAGACTCAACATTTCCTCTAGAGTGTAGAGGAGGATTAGGCTAGTCTGTCTTAGTGAAACCTATCCACCAAGTCTTAAGGATGACTGCTGGCTTATTGCCTTTTAATTGGCAGTTAGGGTTCCATGATTTATTAATAAGCAGCTGTATTTTCTAAATATAAGCTGTATTTCTTAGAAAAACCATTTTATAGTATTTCATGTCAAAATTGCTGTCTAAGGTAACAAACCACAACAGTCAAACAAGTCAGATAAGGAGCACTAGTAAGTTGACTTAGTCCAAATGTAACATGAACAAAACAGGAATAAAATGTCTCAGTAAAGAAGCATCATAACCTTCCCATGTTTTTAACTTAAATTTGTCATTATTTTAACAAAATTATATGAGACAAAGTATGAGTGATTATAAGCAGTGAACAAAGACATAACATAAGAATTTGAAGCACAAAAGTTTTGATTACTTAAGTCAGTCACAATCCACAATCTATGAACCAAAAACAAACTCTTAGCTCTATCCAGTTATCTTGGTGGGAGACCTCCAGATGCTTTAGGGGAAAGAAACTCCCAACTTGCTAGATGTCTGAAATGTTGAATTTGTGTTCTCTAAAATAAAGGAATGGGGGCTGGAGATTTAGCTCAGCGGCATAAGCGCCTGCCTTGCAAGCAGGCAGTCGTGAGTTCGATCCCTGGTACCGATAAAAATGAAAAAGACAAAATAAATAAATAAATAAATAAATAAATAAATAAATAAATAAAATAAAGGAATGAATTCTAGGAACAACGAAGGTTAAGAATAGAAGTTTACTGAAGGAAGAAAAGCTTCTGTCTGAGATAGAAGGGGCCCTGAAAAGTGGGTTGCCATGATGATTGTAAGTCTAAGCAAACTTAGCAAGACCTTCTCTTGAGATAAAATAATGAGAAAGAACTGGGGTTGTAGTTCAGTGTGAAAGGCCTGGATTCAGTCCCCAGTACTAAAAAGACGATGCGAACAAACAAAAAAATTGTGTAACTTAGTTTTCATACATTTGCCAATAGTATACTTATTTGAAATTTTCTGCAGCTTCAAGTCTAGTCGCCTGAGATGTCTAGAGCACTCTGTTGTCCATTTAACTCCATGCTTTTGCTTTTGCAGCTTCCTTTTTCTGGAATGTCCATCTTGGGTCATTCTTGCAGATTCCATTCCTCCAGACGATCACATCTCACACAGCCTTTAGTGCATACCACTGTTCTGGGGTTCATGATTTGTCTTGAAATGACTTGATTCTCTTGTAGTAAAGAGCCTGAACTCTTCACTAACAGGCTTCTCTTATCTTGTTCAGACTTGCAACCCCAGCTCCTAAAATGGTACTTAGAACATAGTCAATGAATGTTTAATGGGATGATTACATGTGTTTTTTATTTGCAGTGACAAATTTATCTGATTATATGATTGGTTTTCTTTTGTTTTTAGGAGGCGTTCCTGCTCATATATATGGCATGACAAAGTTTGGGGACAATATTGAAGATGAATGGTTTATTGTTTATTTAATAAAACAGATTACAAAGGAATTTCCAGAGTTAGTAGCCAGGTAATATATTTATCTATTATAGAATAATTCTGTTTTTTAAAACTAAGTGAGTACATTTTATCCACTTAGTAATTTTTCTTCAGTGGCCTGGTGGAAATTGTTCAAATTTGGGATTTAAAAAGTGACCATATTGTCTTGTGACATCTTTTCCTTGAGAAAAAATTAGTGGAGATTTTCATTTCTAAAATATTTAAATAAAATCTACATATGTTAGGTTTTATTTTTAAAATTTTAATTATGAAAGAATAAGTTTCCCATAACTAATCACTGTTAAATTTTCTTGTGAATCTTTAAAGAATCTATTCAAATACATATTTCATCGATTTCTTTAATATGTCTCCCTCGACTCATTCATTGCTATAATATTTGGAGAAATTATATACAGAAGTTTAAAGGAACCAATTGTGGTTGCACATGCCTATATCCCAGTACTTTGATGGCAGAGGCAGGAGGATAACAAAAACAAGTTCCGGCCCAAACTGACAATTTAGTGAGCCCCTGTCCAAAAGTTTCAAAAACACAGCTCAGTGTGAAGCCCTGTGTTTGGTCCCTGTAACACACATATATAGAAATGCGCACACGTACACCCACAAAGAAATTGGTATAGGAAGCACTGTAGATAACCTTGTAACTCAGTCCTTGAAAAGATATTGATAGTTTCCTTTACTTATTTAGTTATGCCAGCAAAAGGCATTTCACTTATTAGTACTGTTTTTTTTGCTTTTTACCGGTTTTCCTTACAGTCCCCCAAGCTAATCTTTCTACCCAAACAGCTTCTTTCACACCAGAACAAAAAAGAAAGAAAGTAAGAAACTTGAAAACTTTTCTTTATAGAATGTTTAAACACACCTAAAAGTAGAGAGAATGAACCCACATGTACCTATCATCTAGCTTCAACAATTATCAATTTATGATCATTATTATTTTATCTATACTCCTCCTCCTTCCATTGCAAAACGTATTTCCAAAATTATGCCATTTGATCCCTAAATAATTCAGGATTAAATCTAAAAAGTAAGTATTTAAAAAATTAACTGTGTGTGCCAGGCAAGGTGGCACATGCCTGTAATCTCAGTATGTGGGCAGCTGAGGCAGGAAGAGTGCTCAGAGCTCCAGATCAGCTTCAGATCAATGTCAGCCTGAACTACGTATCAAAACTCTTTCAAAAAATTTTTTTAAAAAATGAATTATGTGTTACTTATTCAAAAATTTTTAAAAAATGTTTTTGAGTAGTACAAATGAGGCCTCCCCACCAAAAAAAAATTTTTTTGAAGGCTCAAATTAGACTTCCTACCTGAAGACTTCACTAATCTCATCTATTTGTAATTTTTCTTTCTTCTGAAAGCTATAGGACCTTGCATGTTTTCACAGTTTTTTACTTCTTCTTATCCTCTCCTGCTATGTGTTACTATCTGTATATTCCCTTTTAGGGTTTGTCTGGGTTTTTTTTGAGACAGAGTCTTGCTATGTAGTTCAAGTTGGCATGGATTCACTCTGTAATCCAGGCCAGCCTTGAACTTTGGTGATCCACTTTCCTTAACCTCCTGAGTGCTGAGATTATGGGCACGTACCTCCACACTGAGCCTGAATATTCTAACATTTAGTGTTATCCTAAATATTTTGCTTTCTTATATAAATCTGCACATAGTGCACATTCAGATATCTACTAAGATGTATTACAATAAAGCTGTCTCAATAACTAGCAAATATATGTCTCCTCTTTTATTAGAATTGAAGATAATGATGGTGAATTCTTATTAATAGAAGCTGCTGACTTTCTCCCTAAATGGTTAGATCCTGATAATAGTGCCAACAGGGTAAGTGTACTTAAAGAAATGAAATTATGCTGCATTATTTTTATACCTAGAGTTTGCCTGTGCTCATATGAAAAGTAAAATGTGCTATTTTGCAGGTTTTTTTCCATCATGGGGAATTGTGCATTATTCCTGTACCAAGGAAATCTGAAACAGTATCCTGGTTACCTGCCATTCCTCCAACAATCCCCCAAGCATTAAATATAATCTCAGCTCACCCAGAAAAAGTTTTAGCTTCAGAATCCATACGAGCTGCTATTAATAGGCGCATCAGAGGGTAAGAAAACACTGATATTGATAGTTGCAAAGGCTTTCAGTTTATTGAACTACGTGGATGGTCATTATTATGTGTTCCTCTTCATGAAGTTAATTAACAAGTTGAACTGGTGAATTTTACAGTGCAGAAGCACAGGCTTTGTTTTGTTTTGAGATAGTGTCCTGCTGTGTTGCCCAGATTGGCACTCAAGCAACCTTATTGCCCCAGCCTGCTGTGTAGCTGGGATTACAGGCCCCAATACAACCAGCTTAGGTGTATTTTTTACTTTTCATTCAAAAGTGTTAAGATCTAGTCCCAATATTTGGCATTTATTTATCATAGAGATTGAGGCTGTCATTAACATGCATGGATAAAAATGTGAAACCTTTAAAAATGAGCATATAAAGAAGTGCCATCTTTTTTTTCTTTGGTTCTGGGCCAATGCGTGGGATTCTCTGACCTATGTGAAACACTTTAGGCTTTATTCAGAAGAAAAGAAAGTGAAGGGTTAATAACATTTTAGTTCAACCCATTTGTGTGCCTATTAAATGCTTAGCATTCAGGTCTTAGCAGTATTAAAACTTTTAGCTCTATTTCAGAATGCTTAATTCTGTTTTTTAGAAGAATAAACTGGTTTTATCTTTATTCCAGAATATAGTAAGTTTTGTTTTATTGATCTACCATAATCTCTCTCCTTTGTTTTCCATTTCTTACCACTTATTTTCCCCTCTCTCTGATACTATAATCTTAAAGTATCTTTTTTTGCCTTTCATGCCACTTTTTAAACCAAGACAAAATAAGATGATAAAAGGGAAGCAAGTGGAATAGCTATTGTAGATATTTCTGTATGCAATAAAAACAGTTGTGTTTCCTGGCATAGGTACCCAGAAAAAATCCAGGCCTTGCTGCACCGAGCGCACTGCTTCCTTCCAGCTGGCATTGCAGTGGTACTAAAGCAGCGGCCCAGACTGGTGGCTGCTGCTGTGCAGGCTTTTTACCTGCGGGACCCTGTCGACCTGCGAGCCTGTCGTGTCTTCAAGACGTTCTTGCCGGAAACACGAATAATGACATCAGTAAGATACCGCTCTTGGTCATTTATTTGCCTCACTGGAAAGAAGGTTAAAATATTACTTTACTCTGGAAAAGATTGGACACATGCCATTTCCTCATGCAAGTTAATGCACATTTTTGTCTTTTTTTTTTTTTGCCTATTCGAGGAAGTTTGTAAGAGACCTGACTCCCCAGTTTATATCTCATGATTCTGAGCTATGTGACTATATTTCCCTTATTTTTATAACTATTTCCTTAACAGTAAAACATTTCATCTCTTTCAGAGATTTCAGAATTATTTTTTATCTCCTAACCTTCAAACTGCCATATATTATAATTAGTGATAAGAAATCTAGTAGTGATAACTGAAAGGTAGGCAGTAGGGTAAATTTTATAATATATGAGTTTTAGCACAATAAAACTACTCCTGTAAGCAGGCAGGTAGTGAATAGGGTGGATCTTTTTTTGCATTTCACCTATGAATGTGTGAATAGAAATTTATCAGTGGACTTACTGTTAGTTTTAACCGTGAAAAGATACTCAGATTTTCAGCTTCAAGGGAAGACTCACGTATTTTGTGTCCCAATGTCCAGGTTACTTTCACTAAATGTCTCTACGCACAGTTGGCACAACAGAGGTTTGTGCCAGACCGGCGGAGTGGATACAGACTGCCACCTCCATCTCATCCCCAATACCGAGCCCATGAACTGGGCATGAAGCTGGTAATGTTAAATGAAAAAAATGTTTTTGTTCCTTTATGTAAAAGTGTTCTTAACAGAATAATGACACAGTGTAGAAAGTCTGGAAATGTTCCATATTTAAGAATGTAATAAAATGTAGTATTTCAAATTGGAAAAAATGAATTATTCAGTAAATGTTAATAGGGGACTAGGAAGCCATCTGAAAAATTAAAAGTTGGTTACCTCATACCTATACCAAAATAATTTCTAGTAGTATCACATATGTCAGTGTAAAAATTGAAACCATAAAATTTGAAAGCAAATTATAGGAAAATCATTTATAATCTGAATAGAAAAGGCCTTTTTAAAGCATTACTTGAGGGCTGGGGATTTAAGTCAGTGGCATAGGCACCTGCCTGGTAAGCACAAGGTTGTGAGTTCAATCCCTGATACCAAAAATAAAGCATTACTTGAAACATAAAATTATTATAAAAGAAAATACTGATATGTTTGATTATGTAACAATTTCTTGCTGGGGTTGATGATGAATGCCTGAAATCCTAAGTACTCTTGGAGGCTTTAGACAAGAGGATTGCTTGAGCCCAGGCTGGGAAGCATAGCAAAACTCCATATAAATTTGGGAAAACAAAACAAAATTTTAAAAACTCCTTTGATTTCTTCTATCTAAAAATATTTCTTTAATTCAGTATGAAAAAGATAATACTAGCCAGTTAATTAAAAACATTCTTCTATTTAGCCTTGTAGTCCACAGAAAAGAAAGTATATAGGACTTATAATTTAAATACGAAAATGTTAACCCTTGTTCACAATAAACAAATGCAATTTAAAGCTACAAAGTAATCTTTCACCATTAGATTGGCAAGTTTCAAAAGTGTAAATGTTGTTAGAAAAAAATCAATTCAACTTCTCAGAAGAACAATTGGCAATGTCCATTAACATTTAAATTGCACAAACTTTTTATACAAGGATACCTAATAAGCACAATCATTACAGCATTGTTTGTAATTGCAAAAGATTAGAAACTACTTCAGTGTTTGTTAAATTGTGATCCATCTCATATAAGGTAGATAGATTTATGTGTTTATATGCAGTGATCTTCAAGTATAAAAAAAAAGGTGAAGAATAGTGTGGCAAAGGGATAGAACAGGAAGTTGTACACATTCATAGATATCCGAATGCATACATTACTTCTAACGAAGACGAATTAAGTTGGTTTTTTTTCTTTTTTTTCCTTTTTTTTTATCGGTACCAGGGATCAAACTCTCAACTGCCTGCTTGCAAGGCAGGCGCTTATGCCGCTGAGCTAAATTCCCAGCCTCGACGAATTAAGTTGTTAATAGAGTAGCCAGGTAGACTTCCTATTTGAGTTATTTTGCTGTATAGATTTGTTATATTTTTAAATTAAAGAATCTTGAAATAATTCTCTCCCTTTCCTATGTCTGAAACCATGCTCATATATGTATAATTTCTTTTGGAGAAGAAATTTTTCATAAGTAAATGTTTAAATTTCTGGTTTTGTAGTCAGTAGCAAAAGAAAATTTCTTTGGTGAGGTATGGTGGTGCATGAATGTAATCCCAGCACTCGGGAGACTGGGGCAGGAGGATCACTGCAAGTTCAAGATCAGCCTAAATTGCATAGTGAGACCCTATCTAAAAAAGAAACACACATACAAAAAAGTCTCTTTGAAGAGGACAGGAATCTTTTTTTTAAAAAAATATTATTTTCTTTTCCTTTGTGGTTTCTAATAGGGATAATAGGGATTAAGAAGTTTGGAAATAAATTCAGAGGTTTCATAACATTTAAAAAGGACTTTAAATGTCCACATGCCCCTGTCTCTAGTCACATGGACATAAGTTCTTGAGCATGGCTGAGAAAGAAATTAATTAGATGGTATAAAGAAAAAAGAAATAAAAAACTTCTGTCTGTCTCATCTAGGCTCATGGATTTGAGATCTTATGCTCCAAATGTAGCCCACATTTTTTGGAGACCAAGAAGTCCTGTGTAACTACGTCACCACTATGGACTAGCTTCCTTGAAAGTCTGAAAAAGAATGATTACTTTAAGGTAGGACTTATTCTGTGTGTTTAAAAATGTAAAATCTGGAGAAGGTCAAGCCTGTAAGTTAAAGTCTTATGGTCCATATTTAAATGTGTGACATAATGAAGCTGAAGTAAAAGGGCACCTATTTCAGGGGTACTCAAGGTCTGAAAAGTTGTGAACACTCCAGTATTTGAGAAATCAAAACTTATTTGTATTAAATGCTAAAAGTTGTTATTTACATCAGATTTACAACTTGTAAAAATTGCTAAAGGAGATATAAAGATACCAGATAGAAAAATTAGCAAAATGATATATGAAAAAATTATAAAAAGACATTTCTCTTAAAATATTCAACCTTACAAGTAGTAAAAATAAGCATATGGGCACTACTTTTCATGTATATATAAAGATACAAATAATAGTACTGGTTGAGATACGGTAAAATTAGTACTCCTATACATTGCTGGTAACACTGTAAGTTGATAGAAATTGAAAGTACTTTGGTAGTATGTTCCAAAACCTTCACAATGTTCACTTGACTAATCTTTTGTAAGGAAAGATCCAAGAAGTAGGAAAATCCACAAGAATATGATAATTGTAAAGATTATGTCACAATAATGAAACTGTATAGTATTATACTATCATACATTGTGTGTGTGTGTGTGTGTGTGTGTGTGTGTGTGTGTGTGTGTGTTGTTTGGTGCTGAGAATTGAATCTGGGGCCTCATGCATGCTGGGTAGGTATTCTATCAGTGAGCTATATACCCCTCTCCCCTGTTACTTATAGTTTTAAAAAAGTAAATAAATATGAATAGCACTAAAAATAAGGACGTGGAAAATAAAAATTATACTTATGGTCAGATTAGGCTACTTTGGCATCTGTTAGGCAACTTTTAGTTACTAAAAGTCAGTTACTACTTCATAAATTATATTTTAGTAGGTAATTAAATAATAGAAATTGATAGAAAACCTTCCAAATTGAAAAGATGCCCGAACATTGAAAAGGATTAGGAACTGATACATCTAGCCTAGTCCTCTCATTTAAGAAAAAATTAGAGCCTAAACCTTTATATTTAGGACAAAATGGACTGGGATTCAGACATTGTGATTCCTGAACAATACATGTACACTGCTTTCATGAAAGTTCATTGAGTGCTTGCTTCGGCAGCACATATACTAAAATTGAAACGATACAGAGAAGATTAGCATGGCCCCTGCACAAGGATGACACGCAAATTCCTGAAGCGTTTCATATTTTTTTTTTAAAAAAAAGAAAGTTCATTGAACAGGTTTTTGACAGATGAACAAGTTTATGGAACTCTTCAAATAATGTTCTGATAGACTCTTACCATTTTAATTTTTTAAGGAACTCATAGAAGGTTCTTCTCAATACCAAGAAAGGCTAGAAATGGCAAAGAATTACTTCCAACTCTCAATAAACCGGCCAGAAAGGTAAGTTATGGTTGGGACGTCTATCACAAAGTACGATAGGCTGATGATTGGGTAATTCTCTTTAAATAATTAAGTTTTTGTTGTTATAAAAGGAACATAGTCAGAGGCTAGGGGTTTAGCTTAGTGGTGTAAGCACCTGCCTGGCAAGCACAAGCTCGTGAGTTCAAACCTTGGTACCAAAAGAAAAAAAAAGAAGGAACATGGTCATTCATTATAGTAAATACAGAAAAGTTTGACATGAGAAAATGTATATAAGAGTGGACTACTTTTATCATTTTGATTTATTAGTTTCCAGGGGTTTTTAACCACTTGTTCTTTTTTTATACTTCTAGACATTTTGTCTGCTATACAATTTTTACTCATTATGATATAATTTCTTTGGTGTCACAAACCTTAAGAAAAATAATTTTAAGGGTCTGTACAATATTTCAGGAAGTGGATATACCATAATTTATTCAAGTATTTTGTTATCAGAAAACAAAATATGAATAACTTAAATTCTAACATTTTAATGAATGTGGTAGGAAAGACTCCCATTCTGAGTTAATTTTTATAAACAAATTTAAAACAAACTCATATCTCCTTTCAGACCTGTTGAATTCTCAATGTTTAGAGTTGTTTTTTCTGAATTAGTATCATAGACTTTCCTTCCACATCGTCTAACAGTACACAGCTGTCCTTGGCTGCAGTTGTAGACCTGTTTCTTATTATCTCACATTATTTCTTACTGACCTACTACTTTACTTACTTATATCTTAAATTATATGAATACCCAAACTTGTTTCCCAGCTTCTACTGCCTCTTCTCTAATTCAACCATTGGAGCCAAGAAAACCTGCTTAAAATATATTTAATCATGCTATTTACTGTTCTGCTAAAAATTACTACAGGGGGTCAGATATATAGCTCAGTGGCGTAAGTGCCTGCCTGGCAAGTTATGAGTTTGACCCCTAGTACCAAAAAACAAAAACAAAAAAGAATGAATAAATAAATATTACTACAGATTTTCATAATGAAAAATGGTAAGCACCTGAAGTATCTATCAGTAATGGATAAATGAATACAGTATATTTTTCAGATTTGTTTTAAATTAACAGATAAGGGGTTGAGGATATAGACATAGCTCAGCAACATAGCACCTACCCTACTTGACAGTATATTATGTTCTTTAAAAAAAGCAGATTAGGGCAGGGGATTTAGCTCAGCAGCATAAGCGCCTGCCTTGCAAGTAGGCAGCTGTGAGTTCGATCCCTGGTACCGATAAAAAGGAAAAAGAAAAAAAAAAAAAAAAAAAAAAAGCAGATTATTAGTGTTCTCACTATAAAAATGTACTTATATGAGGTAATGCATATATTGGTTCTGTGTACAATGTATACATATTTCACAACGTGTGTACATGATATATATACAATTTTTATAAAAAGTTTTTTGAAAAAAATATGCCAAAATGGCTCAGTGGTATAGCTCTTTGCTTGCATGCACAAAACCCTGGGTTCAATCCCCAGCACCCCATCCAAAAAAGTAAGCCAAAATGTCAACAATGCAGTAATAGTAAACTTATTGTCAACAAGTTTGTTTGTTTAGTATTCTTTGGAAAACCTATAAGTTTTCTAAGTTATTATAAAATAGACTTCATTAAAAAATACATGTCATGATTTACTTATGTATTTACATTATGAACTTTAGCTTTGAATTTGTTGTTGTAATAATATTGCACTAAACATCCTTGTCTTCTTGAGTATTGAATTTTATTTTAGAGAGAATAAAACCAAATAAATAAAACAATAAAAATCAGTACTAAAAGGGCTGGGGATTTAGCTCAGTGGCATAAGTGCCTGCCTTGCAAATAGGCAGTCATGAGTTTGATCCCTGGTACCGATAAAAAGGGAAAAAAAAAAATCAGTACTAAAGGTGATTTTCAAAAATGGCGGCTTGCTAGGGGATTGGGCGGACAGTCTCTCCAGAGAAATCATATTAAATGCTAGAATATGACAACATAGAGAGGGCCAGAAGAATGGATAACGATTCTTATTAACCAAGACAGTGCGTCTGGAGGATTTAAAGTTGTGCTGAGACTGTGAAGGCTGATAACGGTAGGCTGCAAATCACACGCCTTTAATGCGGCAAACTGACTAGTGGACCCAACAGGAAAAGCTGTGTTGGCTTTTGGTGACTGCTGGAAATTGAGACCCAGGACCCCGCGAAGCAGCCAGGACTGCCCCGTTGCACCAGAGGAGATTGTGAAAAGCTCTGGAGCTCCGAAGCCGAACACGGTGCAGTTTTCTGACCATTCCACACTGTGCCGGGAACGCAGTGAAGGCAAGCAGAGTAGTGTGTAGTAGACTCAAGAGGAAGACCTGCACTGAGCCCTGGTGAGTACTAGGGACTGGGTCCCGAGGCTGCTGTGGTCGGCCAGAGAACATTTTGGAATAGGGCAAAGCCCACTACCACGGCGACATCAATAACATAGAGAGTCTGGCGGAAGACATCTTAGAGTTGGGCAGAACCTGCGGCTCGGTGACATCACTGAGTTGCCCCTGGCGTAGAGAGGTCTGGTGGAGGACATCTTGAAATTGGGCAGAGCCTGGTGCTGTGTTGGCTTCAGCGTCATACAGAGAACTATTGGAAGACATCTTGGAATTGGGCAGACCCGCTGTCCTGGTGCTCCTGGCACAGAGAGGTCTGGAAGAGAACAACTGGGATTGGGGCAGAACCCTGTGCCATGGTGACATTAGTCAGCTGCTTCTGGCACAGAGAGAACTGGCAGGATCTGCTGGGGCTGAACCAAACCTTTGCTTGGGGCCCAATAAGCAATTCTGTGACATCCAGAAAGTACAGCCTAATTTATGATTGACTGGCACAGAGGCTGGAGGCTACCCTGCACCATCCCTGCATCCCTGCCTACCCCAGATAACAGTAAATTGGGGAAGACAGCAAAAACTCAAAGTCAGCACGCTTCTGAAAGGCCCTAAGCAATACGGAGAGGGCCAGAGACTCCCAGGACACTCCAGTCTGAAAGAAACCAGAAACATGACAAGAGATAAAAATAAAAAAAAATCTCCAGCTGCCCAACATGAGAAAATAAGCCCAGGGGAAGTAAACACTGAAGAGAACAAGCACAGTAACCATCCAATACTGGACACAGCATCAGCCGAAATTAAAAAATACCTCCATGACCTCATAGATGAGTTTAAAGCTGTACTCCTGATCCAAGTGAGGCAAGATATAAAGAGATTAATTAAAGAAATGGCAAGCCCCGCCCAAGAGAACACAGATGGAAGAACTGAGGAAATCAGAAAAGAAAGAGAAACTTCTGAAGAAGAATTTAAAAATAACTTAGAATACATGAAACAGATCCAAAGAGATTACCAGGAAACTAAAAACTCCATTGACCACAGGCAAAATGCCCTGACAGAAACTAAAGCTAGCCTTCTGAAACTGAAAGAGATTTATGACATATGATCATGAAAGAAAAAACCTCTTAAAAATAACAAGGAACCAGAAAGAAACAATTCAAAGGCTAGAAGATGACAAAAGGATACCTAACTTAAGAATAAAGAATGTGAATGAGGAAGCAGGAGCAACCAAAAATGAAATACAAAGAATATTCACAGATATATTAAAGCAAAATTTCCCATGTATAGCAAAAAGAAATGATATCCAAATAAAAGAGGAATGCAGAACACCAGCTACGTACAACCAAAACAGATCTACGCCTAGACATATAGTAGTCAAGATTCCAGAAATCCACCAAAACAACAGAATATTAAAAGCAGCCAGAGAAAAGAAGCAGATTACCTACAACGGGAAAATTATCAAAATAACAACAGACTTATCAACACAAATTCTTAAGTCAAGAAGGGAATGGGGAGAGATATTCCAAGTCCTGAAAGAAAATAATATGCAACTGAGACTCATATACCCGTCAAAACTCTCTCTTAAAATTAATGGAGAAATAAGATGCTTCCAAGACAAGGAGGAACTGTGGGAGTTCGTGGCCACCAATCCAACCCTACAGAGAATGCTGAAGGACATTCCAGAGAAAGAGAGGAAGGGATACCAGGATTCCAGCAACAGTGGCAGAGAGGCCTCAATGAACGGGGCAGACAGTGGAATGAGGGAATAAGGTGGACAAATTATAGCAGAAAAGTGGAGTAGCAGACATGAGGCAGAGACAGTAAGCTATAGTCTTTAGTATAGACAGCTCTGAAACACTATAAAAAAAGGCAGAGGTCATTGTTAATAGTGTGTCAGGATTTAAAAGGCACAGTAGTCTTATTGTCATATTTAGTTTTAATTTGTTCTGGTCTGTCCACTCATGTCAGATTTGAGGGCACAGACATCTGACCCAAAAATAGCAGGTTATACCATGGTAACTATCCTTACTTTCCTATTAACTTAAACTGAAATCCTGTATTACTTACATTGTCTTACTATGACTGATCTTAATTGAATCCGATTCATAAGACCATAGGTTTGCCTTGGCTGATTTTATTTGAATTTGGTATGCTTGTTAGTATCAACCCTAAAAGTAGAGGCAACTACTCTGAAGATGACAAGATGTAAAGGATATCCATACTGGTATTAATTATTAACAGCTCTCAAATCCTACAATGCTTTTAAAATTGTGTTTTTATAAAAATAGGTAATACTATGTTTAACTATATTAAGCCGATGATGTGGACAAATCTATTGAAAATAACAAGAGAAAACATAGTAACTACGGAAGATCACCTATATTGTGGTCTTATATGTCTTACCCATTACATGTTTTTCTAGGAATTTGTTTTGCTGTCTTGTTGTGATTTGTTTTTCCCTATAATACAGAGAGAGTAGATATATATGTAGAAATTCACACATGAGATTTTTTTAAAAAAATTATTTACGGGAACAGATTATAAAATGCAAGATGTAATAAACAGATACTCTGAAGAAGAGACACTAAGAAACCCAATGCTAATTTTGTAGCATTATGATATAAATTCTAGCAATACTATTAGTCACTCATCAGAATGATATTAGTCTAGTCTCTTAAGTTCAATTTCAGCATATGTAAAGATGGGGACGGCTACCACGAAGAGAATGAGAGATGCGATAGTAGTTATTATTGTCTTCCCCAATGTTAGATCTTGAGACCTAAAAACCTTCATCATCCTGTAATGATTTGATTAGTTCTCTAATATGCAATATGTATATAATGTGGGTGAAGATGGGGACAACTATTTGTAAGAAACTAGAGACAGTTAGACAGTGAAGATCTCCAGTGGACTTGCTTTGAAATTGTTTTTTAACTGTTTTGTTCTGTTTTGATATGTTTAATCTTATCCTCTTTGAGATGTAAAACAAGTGTGTAGAACTGATAACCATATTATTGAGTTTATTGAGCAGAACTGTTTGCAGTGTCACTTTTTTTTTTTTTTTTTGTCTTTTTCCTTTTTATCGGTACCAGGAATCGAACTCATGACTGCCTGCTTGCAAGGCAGGCGCTTATGCGGCTGAGCTAAATCTTCAGCCCCTGCAGTGTCACTTTTTGAATGTCATTTTAAATACTTTAATTTTGTAACCTGAACAGCTATTTCTAAGATGACAATATGTAACTTTTCTACCAGCGATTTCTTACCGTTTATTTTTCTGTAATTTTGTATTATTTCTACTCTTTTTTAATCTCCATGTGTTTTTTTGTTTCCTTTTCTTTAAAAAAAAAATCAGTACTAAAAAATAACAGAATTAAGCAATACAGAATTTCACAACAGAATTATAGGAAATCAACAATAGTTAAAATCATAATGCCTCTTGGTGTCTTCAATATTGCTGCCCATACCTTCAAACATAATAAAATCAAATAAAACAGAAAAGAATAAAATCAATGAAAACACAACATTGAATAAAATGTAACAATAAAATAGGACAAAACAAAACAGAACAATACTGGATTTCAAAAACAAGACAGAAGGAAATCCCCTGTAATTGCTATATTGCGTATTGTTATCCTCTAAATAGATGTTCACATTATTGACTTTAAGCCTGCAAAGTCAAACAAACAGTACAAATACTAAAACTATTTAGAATGAGTTTATTCCATTCTAAGTAGTTCAGGCAGGGTTCTATTTATATAACAACATAGAGTAACTCATTATACAAAAATAATCTGTGTGTGTAATTCCTCAGAAATGTAAAGTAGGAGGAGCACAAAGTGGTATCAGGAGACTTGATTTCAAGCCTTTGCTCTGTCTAATTAACTATTAGACTATTAGGTCTTGTAGGGCCGGGGATATAGTTCAGTGGCTAAGTGCCTGCCTGGCAAGCATGAGGTGGTTGTGAGTTCAATCCCCATACCACAAAAGATAGTCTTGCAAACATTATAGAACTTCTCTGGGCTCTGATGTTCTCATCTATAAAGCAGGGTTATTACCTCTTTGTAATAGTAAAAAAATGTAAACTATTAGCATAGCATGTGATACATGCTATATTACTTTTAATTCATACTTTCCTTCTGAATCTTTTTTCTTCATATATAAAATAAATGTAAGTTGAAAGGGCTGTACTAGATTAGCGGCTTCACAGTGGCTTTCCATGGATCCCATTGCAGAGCCAAAGGAGAAGACAAAATGGTATTTCAGCCTCCATCGTTAAGAAACTTTAATGAAAACTGTTTTAAACACTTCTGTATTTTAAAGTTCTTTGTAAAAAAGAGGTCTATAACCAAAAAAGAAAAAGTTTACAAACAAATTGTATAGTTAATCCCTTATAGTTTTAAAATTTTGTGTCTTGATGATTACTGTTTTGGACTCTTAGAAAGAAATACTCATGCCTTTTATTTTTGATAGTTCACTTGCTATGAGCCCAGGTGAAGAAATCTTGACCATATTACAGACAGTACCATTTGATATAGAAGAGCTTAAGAAAGAAGAAGCTACCCTTCCCCCAGAGGATGGTAAGTGCTAGATTGAGATGGAGCTGGGGAGAATTTAAAAATCCCGCTAAGTCACTTGTCACTTGGGGGGACTGGGGGTACCTCTCATCTGACTGTTGGATGGCGATATCATGCTTCTTTTTCAGATGACCAGTGGTTAGAGCTTTCACCAGATCAGCTGGATCAGCTACTGCAGGAAGCTGCTGGCACAAAAGAATCACAACCTATTTCCAAGAAGGAAGAGGAGCAGAACTACGACTTAACTCAAGTCACAGACAGCATGAAAGCTTTCATATCCAAGGTCTCAACCCACAAGGGAGCAGAGCTGCCTCGGTAATTTCTGATAAAAAAAAAAAATGTCTAAATAGTTATATCCTACGTGTTGAAGTTGTCCTGCCAATAGAAAGTACCATTTCCACTTTTTTTTTTTCCCAACTAAAAGATTTGTACTGCTTTAGTTCCCTCTTCAGGTACTTGATACAGTGATAATTTACTTATCTGAAGTCAGACTTCTTATAGCCTGAACCATTGCAATCCTTAGAGTAAGCCAGAAAGAATCCTCAATAAATTTACAATCCACTGTCCAGAACCTTGGCAGGAAACTGCATTTTACAACTTTCATTTATGAGCTGTCAACAAACTCAGACTTCTAGTCTACTCTGCAAGTAGACTAGAATCTGCAAACTCAAATGAGGATAAAGGGGCTCCTCAGGCAGAAATAAAAATAGAAGAAAAAACTATTATTAGGGCTGGGGATTTAGCTCAGCAGCATAAGCGCCTGCCTTGCAAGCAGGCAGTCATGAGTTCGATCCCCGGTACCGATAAAAAGGAAAAAGACAAAAAAACCCCAAAAAACTATTATTACAATGCAAATGTGTCTTCTATGAGTGTTGATTCTCTTCATCTTCATGAAAAGATTAACTATAAAGTTACTTTTTCTTTTCAAGAAAGAAGGAATAGGGGCTGGAGATTTAGCTCAGTGGCATAGGTACCTGCCTTGCAAGCAGGCGGTTGTGAGTTTGATTCCCGGTACTGATAAAAATGAAAAAGACAAAAAAAAAAAAAAGAAAGAAGGAATAAGAAAAAGTAGTCTTTTTAAGTTTTGGTTCTTAAAGGAATAAGCTTTATGTAAATAAACTTATAAACAACTTCTTACATATACACAACTTACACTAATACTGCATATGCTTTGTAGCGGGTACAGAGTGGTAGGGATTCCCTAAATGCATAAGCTAAATATGCATAAACAAGGTACAATTTTTATTTTTCTTTCATCAGACTTTTCTGTTTCTATTGTTCTGCAAGGCCAATAAGCACAAGGATTTTCTCTTTTTAAATTTACAATTTTCCTTGCTATTTCTCTTTTGAGATACTTCTGGTAGATTTCCTAAAAATGGCACACTTTAGAAAAAGTTTCAGAGTTGTATTCAGGATAAATAATTGTCTTTTGCCTTTAATCTTGCAGAGAACCTTCTGAGGCTCCAATCACTTTTGATACAGATACCTTTCTTAATTATTTTGATAAAATTTTAGGTGAGTTACCTAATGTTTGAGTTGTAATGTTTGAAACTGTAAGGAGTATGGTTGTGAGAACACTAGATCACCTGGTCATGCGGAAGTCAAAATATCTGCTTTTTCTTTAGGATTTTGAGTTGCTTTCAATCATTAATTAGACATGTTGAATGATCTTAAAACGATACTAGTGGTGGGTGAGGTAACTGCTTATTATATATTTCAGTGAACGAATGATACAAATGTGTGGACAGGGTTTTATCTTGACTTTTATTGTTTTATTTTTTCTTTTACACTTACTATATTTACAAATCAATTAAAAATTACAAAAGCTCAATAAAAAGTCCACATGGGATAGGAATAGGTAGTACACTGAGGAAGAAATACTGCTAGTAAATGTTTAGAAATAGTTCACTCTTTCTAGTAAGCAAGTAAATATATAATAAAAATACAGACTTTTTTTTACCTATCCTATTACCTATCCTATTGGAAAATTTTAAAGATTGATAAAAATCAATTTTCTTTAAGGGTTGACAAAATAGAAACTCTGGGGGTGGCAATATTAAGTTGTCTTTCACTGGAGAGTTTTTGGCACTCTAGAATGCTCATAGCCTGTTACTTAGCAATTTTATGTCCAGAGATTTACTCTGTGAAAAAGATAAATGTGCTAAGATGGTCATTGTAGCATTGTAGTGGCAAGAATCAGAATGTCATAAATGTTTCCCAAGAAGGAAATGGTTTAAATCATTATGTAAAGGTATTATAAGATCTACTCAGCATTATGAAAAATGAAGCCTCTCCATATTCCAACAAAGCCCTCAAGACTGTGCAATGATAACATCTGTGTAAAAAAGAAAACTATGTATTTATACATGTTCGTGTGTAGAACTGCATAGAGTATGGGTAGATACCACACTGTAAAATGTATTTCTTTTTCTTTCTTTTTTTTTTTTTTGATACTGGAGATCAAACTCATTACTTCATGCTTGCCAGACAGGCGTTTATGCCACTGAGCTAAATCTCCAGCAACCTTAAAGCGTATTTCTTAGAGAGAGCTATGAGACATTACTTCTGTGTGGCTTGAATGTTTACATCAGGATATATTAATGTAAGCCAGGTATGATTACACATGCCTGTAATCCCAGCACTTGGGAGGCTGAAGCAGGAGGATTGAGACAAGTTTGAGGTCAGACGAGGCTCCATAGTAAGTTCAAAGCCAGCCTGAACTGTATAGTAAGACCTTGTCTCAAAAACAACCAACAGCAGCAAAAAACAATAATGTGTTACATTAATTATATGATTATTTAATTCTGCCTTTCCCCCTGCCATGCAGAAAATCAAAACCATGTCTTTGTGTTTTAAGAAAAAACTTTTGTGGGGCTGGGGATTTAGCTCAGCGGCATAAGCGCCTGCCTTGCAAGCAGGTAGTCGTGAGTTCAATCCCTGGTACCGATAAAAAAAAGAAAAAAGAAAAAACTTTGGTTTTATCCAGGCATGGTGAAACACCCCTGTAATTTTGTCACTCTGGGGGGCTGAGGCAGGAAGATCACAAGTTTGGTCCTAGAATGGGTCATTTAGTGACTTAATGAGACCCTGTCTCAAAAAAAATAGGAAAACCAAAAAACCTAAGGTTGGGGCTGGGGATAAATTCGTAGAAAGGCGTTGGGTTCAATTCCCAGTACCACCACCAAAAGAAAAATTATATAACTGTATTCACTTTTAAATAAAAAAGTTAAGTCAGCCGACCTGGCCTACTAATTTTTCTATAAGTATTTGTAAACATTACTGTTTCTTGAAGGAATTTTTGTGAAGTAGTTTGACTGTCTCTATTGGTTATTTACTTTGTGTAATATTCTAATTCTTTTGGAAAGGGAGATAATCAAAAACATTTACCAGTGGCTCTTCCTATATTGGGATCTTATCCAGGGCCAAAGACTCAGGAGTCAGACCCTGATGATCTGGATGAGGAAGACTTTGAGGATTTAGACAGTGATGATGACTTGGACCTTGAGACTCAGGAACCTGATGAAGAAGCTTCCCTGAAAGGAACTCTAGATAGTTTGAAGACATACATGGCCCAGATGGACCAGGAACTGGCACACACCAGCATTGGCCAAAGTTTTACCACTAGGAAGCAAGTGGTGAGTGTTTTTAACTGCTTTCCCTTTCCAATCTATCACATTGAATAGCTAAAGACATTTTATCTTGGGTTTTCTTTTCTTTTGATATATGAGCTTTAAAACAACTAAGATTGCTAATTTTTTTTTTTTTAATGTGGTCTGGGGATGGAACTCAGAGCCTTGTGCGTGGTAGACATACAGTACCACTGAGCTATGTCCCCAGCCCCCAAAATGCTTAATTTTTTTCCTTACATGTATGACGACGTGAGCAAATTCCTAGCTACTGTTCCTACCTACTCAAGAGGCTAAGGCTGAAAGATCACTTGAACCTAAGAGTTCGAGGCCATTCTGGGCAACATAAGGAGGGGAGGGGGATCCTTTGGTGTAACTCAGTAGTAAAGCACGTTTAATATAAACAAGGCTTCGCTGGGGATTTAGCTCAGCGGCATAAGTGCCTGCCTTGTAAGTGTACAGTCGTGAGTTTGACCCCCAGTACCAAAAACAAACAAACAAACAAAAAATAAGGCCTCTGGTTCAGTCCGCAGTCCCGGAGGAAAAAGTTAGTAAGTGTTACTTCCTAAACATAAACTTAGTTGTATGACCTACCCTGTGATAGATATAAAATAAAGGATCATATAGCAATCTCATTATGTAGTGGTACACTAACTTCTGCCTTAACAGATCCTAAGAGGATCTTTTTTTTTTTTTTTTTTTTGTCTTTTTCGTTTTTATCGGTACCAGGGATTGAACTCACGACTGCCTGCTTGCAAGGCAGGCGCTTATGCCACTGAGCTAAATCTCCAGCCCCCCCTAAGAGGATCTTAAATATCCAAATAATTTCAAGTCTCAGTTGTTTTATATTTTTTCCTAATGGAGAACCAACTTTAGAGTTCAGTCACATTTTTACCCTAGTTTTTATACCAGCACTGTCTATCTTTAGATAGAGACATAATGGAAAGAACACGGACCCCAGAGTTTCACAGAATCAGTTTGCAATCTGACTCAGCCATTCACTGTGAATGTGTCTATTAGTTAGTATCCTCCCGTTGTAGAATTAACAATGACAGCCAGAGGAGACAATGGTAAAGTCTGTTTATAATAGGCTTCCTAATTAATGTTAATTCTCCTTGCTTTCATTATTCAAACCCCATTTAAAACTGTAATCATTTTCAGCATTGCCAAGCCCTATTAGAAACCACACATCAACTAAGGCTTTTGTTGCCATATAGATTTTGATTAAGCAAGTCTGAGGGGAAACCTGCGATTCTCCTTCTAGCAAGATTAGAAGGATGCAGATGCTGCTGCCCCATGGACTGCACTTTGGAGTCCAGTCATGTAAAAGTCCAGATCAGGGGCCGGAGATTTAGCTCAGCGGCATAAGCGCCTGCCTTGCAAGCAGGCAGTCGTGAGTTTGATCCCCGGTACCAATAAAAAGGAAAAAAACAACAAAAAAAGTCCAGATCAGCCGCAGTCTTTCCACTCCTCTCCCCAACCTGTGACCTCGGGGGCCAAGTAACAATGTAGCCTTAGTTTTTTGTTTAAATTTGTCACTGAGGGGAGAAAAAGAAATCTCACTGCTTTCATTTAGAAGAAAATTTAAGATTCTTGTGGGTTTTTGTAAATGTTCTTTTTTAAAAGTCAAATCAACACCTCAATTCTAGTGATGTTCTTTGGGTTATTGCAAAATCAGGACAAAACCATTCAGTGTATAGTAATTTTTCCTACAATGAAGCATGTTGTAATATTTAGGGGTAACGTTTTTTTTTTGAGGCAGGGTTTTGCTACGCAGTTCAGGCTGACCTCAAACTCAGTTCGCTTTGTAGGCCCAGTCTGGCCTTGAACTCAGCAATGCTCGTGCCTCAGCCTCCCAAGTGCTGAGATTACAGGTGTACTTCACCATGCCCGGCAGTAACTTTTTTTTTTTTTGTCTTTTTCATTCTTATCGGTACCGGAGAATCAAACTCACGACCACCTGCTTGCAAGGCAGGTACTTATGCCGCTGAGCTAAATCCCCAGCCCCCGACAGTAACTTTTAATATGAGTTAAATCACATGTTTATTAGATTTCATTTTTACATCACAAAAGTTATAGAAGTTTGTTTTAACTTAGAATTCATATGTACATTGCTGTTTACAGCTTTTTATTGTAACTGCTATCCAGTCTGAGGGGATATAATTCTGTGATTTTCTTCTAAAATAAGGACCCATCATCAGAGACCACCAGTAACAATTCAGATGAGGAAAATTCTGGTGCCAGAGATTCTGCTATGGCCCCAGTCGATGTAGACCTGAACCTGGTTTCAAATATATTGGAATCCTACAGCTCCCAAGCTGGACTGGCAGGGCCTGCCTCAAACCTCTTACAGAGCATGGGGGTGCAGCTGCCCGACAACAGCGATCACAGAACCTCAAGTAAGCCAGTGAGAGGTTAGCCAACATACCAGGCTTTGTTTTCCTCTTTTTAAATAAACAGTGAGTCTGGGTGAATTCATTTCTAGTGTGCATTACTCATTCACTAAAAATGTTTCTTCATTGCGAGTTCCGTAGGTTGTCTTCTCCCTAGTCCCAAGACATGTCCTCCTGCACAACTCTGTGTTCTTCACTCAGGTATACACGAGGTTCTGAATCAGCAGGATAGGGTCAAGCTGCAGGACAGCCTCTGAGAAGAGAGATCTGTACGTTCTATGGTAAGAAAATACCACACCACAGTGTTCCCCTAGTGTAATTCTGAATATGTAATTTTCCCCTGAAGTATATTTATCTACTGTTCAAAATCCTAAGTTGGCAAAATTCCAGTTTATTCACTTTTTTTCTAAACTTTTTAAATGAAGCATAAAATATACAAATCTTAAGTATACAGTCTATATGGTAAAGAACTTACTTCTTAAACAGTAGGTCTACTGATACATAATCACATACCAAAAAGTTTTCTTTAAAGCCTACAGTGCTGGAGCTTTTAGTATATTTACAAAATTATGCAGCCATCACCACTGTCTTGCTTCCACAATATTCTCATCACGCAACAGAGAAACCTGTACCCACTAATGATTACTCATCATTCTGTTCTTCTCAGTCCCTCAAAACCATTAACCTACTTTCTGTCTTTATGGACTTGCCTATTTCGATATTTCATTCATTGATATTACTTTAAATTGAAATTTGATATTAATATAATACCTGTTACTAGGAAAAATGGTTATTTAATATGATTCTCATTTCTTCCTAAAATGAATAAAATCTTACCTATAAACAGCAAAAAGATGACCTTACTATGAAAGTAAAAACAGTGACATACAGTTATCACTCAAGACCCATGGGGATTCATTTGAAAGCCTACCCCCTTTATCGAAATCCACAGATTCTCAAGTCCTTTATACATAATGGCATAGTAAAATTAAAACCACACTGACATTTCTCCTTACCCATAAAGAATGACTACTGTCAAGAAGTCAAACAGTAACAAATGCTGGAGGGGCTGTGGGGAAAGGAGCCATTCTGCATTGTTGGTGGGAGCATAGGCTGGTACAACCACTGTGGAAATCAGTGTGGAGATTCCTCAAAAACTAGGATTAGAGGTTCCGTTTGACCCAGCTATTCTTCTGGATATTTTTCCAAAAGAATTAAAAGACTGGGGATTCAACTCTGCGGCACAAGTACCTGCCTGCCAAGTGTGAGGTTAATTTGATCCCTGGTACCAAAAAAAAAAAAAAAAAAAAAAGAACTCAAAGCTTTATACCACAGGGATATATGCATACCCATGTTTATATTGGCAAAGTTTATAATAGCTAAATTTTGGAAACAACCCAAATGCTCATCAGTTGATTAATGGATAAAAAAGATGTGTTTTTGATATACCGTGGAGTACTACTCTGCCACAAAGAAGGATGAACTTGAGACGTTTATAGCTAAATAAATGGATTGAGACCATACTTTTTTTTTTTTTAAGAGCAGAATATATTTATTGAGAGAAAGAAAGCTTCCCTCTGGGAGAGACAGAAGGGGTCCCAAGTGGGTTGCCAAAGACTCTGATGAGATCATACTCTGAAGTGAAATAAATTGGACACACATGTATAAATATTACATTGTCTCTGGTGTGAAAATTGAAAGTGTAAATAAACCAAAATGTGTAACGGAAATTGTGAAATAGGAAGAAATTGTTCAAAAAGGATTTAGGGAGGGGAGAGGGAAAAAGGAAGGAAGGGAAAAGAAAAATAAAAAAAAGGATAAAAATGGAAACAGCTTTGTAGATCAGGAGGGGAAGAGGGATTAAAGAGGGGAAGGGAACGGGGAAAAAGGAAACAAGATATCATGTACAGGTACAAATTCCCTGTGATGAATGTGATCACTATGTATATCTCAATTGTACTAATAACTAAATTTTAAAAATAAATAGGGGCCAAGGAATTAGCTCAGTGGCACACCTGACAAACATGAGGTCCTGAGTGTGGTTGCTGGTACTCGTCCCAAAGTCAAATAAAAATAAATGACATAATATTTGTATGTAATCTATGCACATCTTCTGTATTTCATCTCTGGATTATTATATTAATGCAATGTGTGTAATATGTAAATAATGGTTATCCTGTAATAATTACAAGAAAATACGTATGTGGTATTTTCCCCAAGTACTTTCAGTCTACAGTAGAATCCAAAAATGCAGAGCCGACAGATACAGTAAAGCCCGCCACAGCCAAGGGGAGAACCAGAAGGGGGTGGCAGCATCCTGTTGGGGTCCGCTGTCACACACTAATCCCATATTCCTGCCAGCCCTCTTACTTTCAGAGTGATGTTTACTGAGATGAGTCGAGGAACAGGAACAGTGGTGCACACTGAGTTAAGAACGCATTGGGTGGAAATGTTTCTTTTTATTGCATAAGGCAATAAATAGTTTAAATGTTAAAACGTTTGGGGTAACTCTAGTCTTACTAATTTGTGTTTTATTTTGAAAGTACATTTCATTTGTTGAGAATCCTGTCCTAGCTTGATTGTAAGAAAGTTTTCTCACCACGTACTTTTGGTATACTAAATTTAAATATATTAAATGTTGGGTGGATACAGGAAAACAGAAGTAAGAAATCAGTTTTTATTCCTGTTGCCAGGGTTAACTGACTTGAGGCATGCTTCCTCTGCTGACAAATATATTTGTTTTAAGGTTTTGCTAGTCTGCATCGTAGTCTCAGCTGGGTTCTATTTAGCCATAAATAGCACCTTCAAAACTCATTGCCATGCGTATGTCCTCTCTACTTAGTGTCCTGTATGAGTTCATCCACCATTTTCAGCACAGCAACCTGCCTTGTTCTGCGTCAGCTTTCAGATATCCTCAGAATTGTATAGTAGTGCCCTCTTACTGCTTGTGCTGGGAAAACAAACTTCAGTGTTGCAGCTTCTGTTAGTCACTCTCATTCTGAATTCCCAAAAAACAGATTCATCAAAAAGCAAACAGGCACCGGGGATGTAGCTTAGTGCTGGCAAGTACAAGGTCCTGAATTCGATTCCCGGTACCAAATAAATAAATAAAAGTAAACAGTTACTCCATGGTAAGTTTGAGAAATTCATAACCAGGAACCCTGCACCCCCATTCTATCAGTATTTTGACTGGGGATGTGTACACATGTGCTCACAAACACACCCACAGAGAAAGAAACGATTGGGAGACAGTAATACACATGAACCCTGAACTGTTTTCTTCTGACCGCAAGATATGAAGAAATCTCAGGCCTCTTTTTTTCCTGAATGTGTTTTCCTTCTAAAAGCAGAGTTCACTCCAGGTAAAGGCAGGCTGCCAACCTAACAGGACAGTCAAGTCCGAGCACATATTATCTCTCGAGGATTCTAGCTAAAGGCACTTTTATTTCCCCAAAGCAATGATGGTTTTCTGGTAATGAAGATAGCAGTGAACTTTTGGGGCCAAAAAGAGATTCTCTGCTTTAATTTTTCTAATTCTGGCTTTTCTTTTGCTTAGTTCTAAGGGACTCTAATAGGTGAAAAATCTTAAGACTGCTGGGCTTGTATGTTTTACTCACAGTGCTTAGAGCCGCCTGCCCCAGCTCTTTTCAACTAGACTGAGTATTGCTTCTGCACATTTACTAGTCACAAAGATTTAGAATCTAGATGAAAACAGTTTATTGTTGCACCAAAAATTGTTTTTGCTGTACTCTTAATTCTTTTTTTTCTCTCTCTTTTTCTTCTTCAGACAGAGTTTCACTTTGTAGTTCAGTCTGGCCTTGAACGTTGTAGCCCAGGCTGGCCTCCAACTCACAGCAATCCTCCTGCCTCAGCCCCCCAAGTCCTGGGGTTACAGGCATGTGACAACATGTCCAGCTAGAGGCAGCACCTTTCTAAATCATTAAATTGTCCAGGCTGGGTTCATATTTCATCCCTGCCTCAGCCTCGCACGGTGTTGGGGTTACAGTCATGTGCCATCACATTTGGTTTGGAGCTGGTCCTGTGGTCACTTCTCCTTTACAGTGGATTTCAAATATGTCCTTTGGTGATGTCCAGGAGAGATGTTGATGGCTTGACCTATGCAGACAGGGAAGCACCTGTCTGTTTTTCTAACCACTCCTTAATCAGTTGGTGGGCAATGGCTAACTTGGGGGGCAGTGAGAGTGGGAAAGTTTCATTCTGTTGCTGAATGTAGGGGCCCTTTCTGCTCAGTGCTGTGGCTATCTCTTCATAACTAAACCAGGCAGCTGCCTCTAGTTCCCTCAAGTTCACCTGGATCTGAAAGACAAAGAATAAAAGAATGTATAATTAGAAACTATAAAATGTAAAATATTATGGTCAAAGGTAAGAAAGTTGTTATACAACCTACTAGTCTTGGAAAAGAACACCTGGGCTTTACAGGTAAGGTAAATATTGGTTCTAGATATATCCCACAAACAAAAGCATAACTAAGGCATTTTTTTTTACATAGGGAAAAAGATACATAAAAAGAACTGCAAGGATAAAACGAACTGTGCTCAGAAGTATAGCAGAGGTTTAGAAATGCATGAATCCCTGAGCTCAGCCTCCCAACACCAAAAATAAATCAGTGGCATTAAATTAAAAACTTGGAAGTACAAATACTGAAGTATTAAATGGGCTAACACTGAGTGGTAAATTGTGAACAATAATCATTTTTCTTTGTGTTTCCATTGATTGTGTAACTGTGAATTAAAAAAAGAACCTACTTTAAGAATGAGAGTTACTAGGGCTGGGGATTTAGCTCAGCGGCATAAGCACCTGCCTTGCAAGCAGGCAGTCGTGAGTTCGATCCCCGGTACCGATAAAAAAAAAAGAATGAGAGTTACTGATAACCCAAAGCAAAGTAATGTAAACTTTGTCCACAGTAAGCTGAAACAGACATCCTAAAAGGCAATATACACAATAGGCAGTCTTTGGTAGACAGGGACTACAACAAGGATACTACAGAAGGGCAAGATGAGGTTAGAGAAGACAACATCTGAGCTCCTTTCAGCGAGGCATGGTGATGCACACCTGTAATCCCAGTGCCAGGCTAGCCTGAGATACAAAGTGAGTTCAAGGCCAACCTAACTACAAAGCAAGACCCTGTCTCAAAAATGAAAAGCTCTTTCAACCAGAAGTCTTCCAATAATTGTATCATTAGTCCCCAACACCCTTGATTAGCTTATTGACAATAAAATCAATCCTGAAGTTGACCATTAAATTTGATATATATATTATATGCCTACTGTAAGATACTGTTACAATCTGAAGGTGAAAGATAAATTGCCAATATAAATGGTATTGGAACAACTGCATATCCACATACAAATAAATAAAATTGGACCCTTATACCATATACCAAGAAACAACTCAAAATGGATTAAAACTTGAAATCATAAGCTTTTTAGAAGAAAACATAAGGGAGTGAGCTGCTAGACACTGGACTAGGCAATGATCTTTTAGATACAACACCAAAATCACAGGCAATAAAAGTAAAAGCAGGATTACATAAAACCAAAAAGGAAAAGAAATAACTAAAAGTGAAAAGGCATTCTACAGAATGAGAGAAAATATTTGAAGATCATATATATCTATAAAGGGACTATATATCTATGTAAGGAACTCCTACAACTCAATGGTAAATAACTCAAGTGTTAAACAACTATGGGCATTTCTCAAAAGAGAATATAAGAGACACATGAAAAAAATGCTCAACACTGCTCATCATTACAGAAATGTAAATCAGAACCACAATAAGATACTAGCTCATACCTGACATGATGGCTATTAGGAAAAAAAAAAGATAACAAATGTTAGCAAGGGAATCAAGAAACTATTGGGGGAAATGTAAGTTGGTGTAGCCACTAAACAACATGGAGGGTCCTAACATATTTAAAATGGAATCGCCATCTGATCCAGCAGTCCTCCTTCAGAGTATATAAATCCAAATGAATTGAAATCTGGATCTCTAAGGAGTATCTGTACACATGTGTTCACAGCAGCCAGGATATGGAAGCAACCTAAATGTCCATCAATAAATGAATAAAGTGTGGCAGATACATAAGGAAGATTGTCTTTAAAAAGAAGGGGATCCTGTATTTGTAATAATATGATGGAGGACATGCTAAGTGAAAAGAACCAGATATAGAAGGACAAATTCTCCATGATCCCACCTACACATAGAAACTGAAAAGATAAACAAGAAAGTGTTGGTAGCCCTGGGGATTTAGCTCAGTGGCATAAGCACCTGCCTTGCAAGTGTGCGCTTGTGAGTTCGATCCCTGGTACCGATAAAAACGAAAAAGAAAAAAAAAAGTGTTGGTCAAGGATATAAAGCTTATACAAAATAAGTTCTGGAGACTTGTACAACATGGGGCCTATGATTAACAATACTGTGTTGAATATATTAAAATTTGCTACAAGGATAAATCTATGTTCTTACCACAAAAGAAAAAAATACAGGGTGTAGGAGAAAACTTTTGAAAGTGATAAATTTACATATTGATGATGATGCTTAGTGGATAGTTTCATAGGTACGTACTTATCTCCCAACCCATCAAGTTGTATGTATATATTACTGCTTTATATGTCTTAATTTTATTTAAATAAAATGGTTAGGTCCAAGGGTTTAGCTCAATGGCTTAAGTGCCCGCCCAGTAAGTGCAGGGTTGTGAGTTCAATCCCTGTTACCAAAAAACAAAGTAGTTAAATAAAATGGCTAAAAAGTAAAAAGAAGCTGGGTGTGGTGGCTCACACTTGTAATTCCAGCAATCAGGAGGCTGAGTCAGGAGAACTGTGAGTTTGAGGCCAGCCTGGGCTACACAGTGAGTTTACGAATAGCCTGAATGATAGGGTGAGACACTGTCTAAAAGGGTAAAGAAAAAAGAAAAAGAGAAAAGAAATTATCTTATGATTCACATCTGTAGAAGGGAGGATGGTGACTGCTTGTTTACTAGAATAAAATGCCTTTATCATAGTAGTCTAGACACTGCCGGATTAGACAGGTGCTGAGTAAGCTCTTGCTGACCAGCAGACTGGGCATAGCAAAGGAAGCATCCCAGCGGAAGGTAAACACCAGCGCTTACCTCTGTCTGCCCTGGTTTCACAGCTGCATGACAAGCAATCATGAGCGAGCTGTTAGGAAAGGGCCAGTGCTGAGATGCGGAGTACTGCATGCTCTCCACCTCCAGTCCCACCTCTTCTGCAACTTCTCGCTGGACAGCCTCTTCCACATTTTCACCTGTAAGCAGAATAACTTAGGACAGCCAGAGAGCAGAAGGGTTGTATCTGTATCATGATAGCCCATTTGTAAAAGGAGAGCAGAATGTGGGGTATCCTAAATCTGAGTCTCTCCAAGACAGGAATCAAGTCGAGCTGGACATCAGACTGAGTGTGTAAGCCTGCTGGGCTAGTATAATGCACAGGAAGAGGGCTATGGGAGAGGCTGCTGCTGCCCTTAGCTATAAAAAAATTTCTCTTCATTTGTAGATTTTATCCCAATAAACTAAAAGATATATCAAAACAAAAAAACTAAATGTGGAATTTTAGCATTATGCAAGCTGAAATATTTAGAAAGATGTAAACTGTTTAAAATCTGTACCTCAAAAAATAAGATGATTGGCAGATGAAAAATATGTGATGAAGTTAGTATAAAAATTATATAGTCAAAAAATTATAGAGTCTAAGTGATTAGGTGTATAGGAGTCCACTGCGTGATTCTTCCACTATGCTATATGTTTGAAATTTTATCTAATTAATACTGGGAAATCATAATGCCAGAATGCTGTATTCTTGACATGAGAGGAAAGAATGTGCGTAAGATGTCAAGCATTATGACAAGACAGAGAAATATCTACTATTAATAAGATTTTCTATCCTCTACTATCACCTGCATTAGTAAGATTTTCTATCCTCCATTACCACACTGTATATGATCTATAATACTTACCTATATCACAAAAGCCTGCCAAGGCAGAATACAACCCTTTGGGAAAGGATTTCTGGCGGGCAAGCAGGCACCGGGTCCCATCTGACACCAGAGTAATTACGACAGGAGCCATCTAAGAAAAGAGAATGGAAATTGTCTCTTTGGGGCTTCCCAATGGACCGAAGGAATGGATAATTTAAAAAGCCTTTCAATTTCGCAGGTCTCCTTCCCCAGGACATATAAGTACACCTTTCAGATTACTGTCCTTGTACAGCAACTCTTACTTGTGGGTAATAGATGATGTTATTGGAAGGGCACACACGCTTGCTGCCGGCGATATTCTTTTTGGTGGGCTGCCCACTTTTGCTGCAGAACTGATGACCATCATGCCATCGGAGAAGAGCCTGAGCCTAGGAATACAAAGATGAGCCTAGTTTCATTTAGAGAAGACAGCGGGCTTATCCATAACAGCGCTGGGCCCAGATTCTAGAGCAACTCGCAACCTTTCCAAACTCATTCATCTTTAAATGGTTACTGTTTAAGATAATGAACTATATGAACATTCCCTTAGCATCAGAAATCTGAATAAAGGAGGCATTTTAATGCAATATGAATCATTTAAAATATAATAAATATGATAAACATCCATGTGTGCATAACCTAACTTAAAAAGACAACATTTCCAATACAAACAATCAAATGTATTCTTCCTCAATATGGCTGGAATATTTTTGCAACTAAAAAATATTTAAAAGTTTTTCTTACAATAGACAATTAACCCCCATTGCAAATAAAATCTAAAGCTGTGAGGACAATTCATTAATGCAATGAAAAATTATTTCCTATATGAAAAACGTGATACAGTATGTCATTAGAAATGTTTATGAGGTTGATAATCATTGCCATAGATCTCTATGTCCTTAGTAGAAAACAGTCTTGATAGCAATTCTGCCAAAATAAGGCAAAGCGTGGTAGAATAATCAGTCTTCCTATAGCTCATTTTCTTTCATCAAGGTCTTAGGAAGGACCATGCTCTACAAAAGAATAAATTAAATTAGGCCTAGCACTGTTACTTTACTAAACTTCCTATAGAAGTAAGAAATTTGAATCTACCGTGAATAGCAAGGAAGAATCCATTGAATTCAGCTGAAAGAGAGCTTTCCTTAGCTCAGTGAAAGACCCCTTGAGCTCTGTCTCCACTTCAGATCTTGGTAAGGAGGCTAGAAAATTGTAAAAGAGAATGAAGTTAAACAAATGTCAGACTTTGCCTCTGGGCCCTTTCCAGTCTATCTTGTTAAGTACTGTTTTCCAAACTTGCCTAATAAGCATCTGCTGGAGAAAGGAAAAGTGATAGTTTCTCAGGCCCCTACCTGGATATTCTGAAGCAGCAGGTGTAGAGTAAGCCCCAGGAATTTTTTTAAAGAAGTACCAGGTTATTCTTATAGTCAGGCCAGTTTTGGAAACACTGGAACTGTATTTCTCAAGATCCTCAGGGAATTTAGACTATTTGCATTAGCTATACACTCCCTGGAAAAAAGATGAAATGGGATCTCTAAATTCCTGTCTGAAGCCCATTCCAGCAGCTTTACATTTACACCCACACACCTTCCAGGGTAAAGGAAAGTCTAAGAGGAACCAGGAACCTAGAGCAAAGTGGTTCCTAAGTGTTGGCCTGAGCACTGGTAATATCGCCATTTCCCTGCATTGGTAAGAGAAAGAATAATGTCTATTTCTTATAAAATGTTTAAGGCTTATAAAATACATACTGGCTTAGAGAAAACCATCACTCAGTTTAGAAAGAAAGCATTAAAATGCTCAGTATTTTTTAAAATGTTTTATATTTTAAATGATGGTAGATGATAGTGTTATGTCCTTAAAGAGTTGACAACCTTTTTTGTATTCTTACAATTTTCTTAGAAATGATACTGTGTGTATCCCAAAGTCTGAGAATCACTGCAGTCCATTTAAATGATGTTCTATGTACCATGTATGGAAAAGGAGCTGTTGAGACCTAGATCCAGAGCAAACCATGCTTCATGCAGTTCAGAGCATCCAATCAGCACAGAATCTTCCACTCTTTGTGCATCCTGTCCAAACTTATGCAGGAGTCTTTCCACCTCTAAGAAACAAGAGGGAAATAAACAAGATTTCTGTTACATTACCACAGTTGTGCTAGACATATAAGAAGTCATCTACTTCAGTTTAAAGGAAGTAACCAGTTGCCTCAGTACCTTTGTGGGACTGGTTACCCCTCAGATATCAAAATAGGCAGATGCTAAAGTCTCATATATAAATGGTATGTTTGCATATAACCTTTCAATTTCCCATATACTTTATTTTTTATTATTAAATTTATTTTTAAAACTAATACAAAAACTGTACATATTTATAGAATACTATGTGATATTTTGATACATATGGACATTGTGTAATGTTTATATTAAATATGGCGGCTGGGGATTTAGCTCAGCAGCATAAGCTCCTGCCTTGCATTTGGTCGTGAGTTCGATCCCTGGTACTGATTTAAAAAATCATGTTAAATAATTCTCTCAAATATTTATAATTTATGGTGAAAACATCAAAAATTCTTCTAGTTTTTGAAGTATATAGTACATTATTATTAACCAAAGTCACTTGACTGTGGAACAGCACAACAGAGCTTTCTTAAAATTTTATTTTAGTGAGAAAAAGTTTAAAAAGATACAAAATTTCAACATAAAATAGTAGGAGAGTAACAATGGTTAATACATTATATACTATCTTCATAGTTGCTCATATTACAAGATATAGGCATGAAAAATCGATCAAACAACATAAACACAAACCCTTTCTTTTCAGTGAACCAACAGAAATTAGTAGTATAACTACTTTAAGTATCTTGTATGTGTATATACATATTTTTTTCCCTTTTCCCTTTCATCTTTTCTCCTTTCTCCCGTCCCAGTTCCTCCTTCTTTTTGAACATTATTCCCATTTCAGAGCATCTATTGTTTTGGATCTTATTTACTCTTTTGACTTATTACACTAGGGAGAAAATATGATGTGAGTATAGTCTCAAGTTGTATCCATTTACCTATAAAAGTCTCAAGTTTATCCTTTACAGCTGAGTAGTATTCAATTGTATAAAAATACATCTTTTTTATCCATACCTCCGTGATGGGAAGTTGGGTACATAGAGCTTCTTAATCCTATCTAAAATGTGGTACCAAGCCAGGGATCTAGCTCAGCGGCACAGCACCTTACTGTGTTTGTGTTACATTTGTTCTCTGTTAGTTTCTTCTCTACTGCACTCTTGTATTCTACCAAAGATTTCTCCATAGCACCAAATTCTGCCATTTCTGAGCTGCGAGCACCTGCGGCTCCCTCCCATATACTTTAATTGATCTCTAGTTACTTATAATATCTAATACAATGCAAATCCTATGTAAATAATTGTTATACTATATTGTTTATGGGTTGATGTCAAGAAAAAAAATCTGCACATGTTCAGTATAGACACAGTTTTTTTCCAAATACTTTTGGTCTGCAATTATTTGAATATGAGCATTGAAGGTCCAGCTAAACTTGGCTTAAGGCAGTGATGGTGAATCTTTCAATAATATAAATAGCCTCATGTGCCACATATGCCATAGATTTACCACTACTGGCTTGAGATATAAACTGTCCTACAGCTAATTAGCTGTATAAGTCTAGTCACTTAAGCTCTCTAGGCATCTGTCTTCATCTCAGTAATCGCAGGAGTCTAGACCAAAGGAGGAATTCTATCTGTGTAACTGATTGCTCCATAATTGCATAATGGGAAGAACACAGCCCCACTGTTCAGAAAATGCACAATAGCTGAGTTATTAAGGTATTGAAAAACTACATATTATACTTAAAATGGTAAAGACCAATTCAATTCTGTAATTAACTTCCAGATTGTTGCTTTACTGGACCAAAGTGGAATAGTTATCTGAGAAAGGTAAATGCTATATAGGGAGAAAGCTTGTCCTCTCCATGAAGGACTCATCTATTTGTTCATAATGTAACATTGTTAAATCTCTAAATAATGTTTAATGCCTTCTAACAGGATCCTTGTATTCTTTTGCACAGCTGGAAACTACTTACCCAAATACTCCAAAATCTGACTTATGAGAGAAATCCATCAGCAATGTATTAAAAAGTACATAGTGACTAATTATACTTATATGTCAATATAAAGCTGAAAATTAATAGTCAAATAGCAAATTCCAGCCAGGTGTGGTGGTAAATACTGTAGCTTCAAATATTCAGGAGTCTCAGGCAGGAGGATTTCTTAAACTTAGGAATACAAAACCAGCCTGGGCAATAAAGTGAGACCCTGTGTCAAAAAAAAAAAAAAAATCAAAAAGAAATCCTAATAACTTATGTACCTCTAAAAAGGTTCTCAAAATAAATTAATTTAAATTTAGTTTAAAATTTGATCTTCTAGTAAAAATCAAGTTAGGATGCAAATCTAACACTTTTTCTAGTGTAACAGTATGTACTTCTATGGAGGCTGGAAATCACTACTTTAAAGTACAAGTTGGCAAACTTTCTCTGTAAAGAGATACTAATTATTTTAGGCTTTGTGATCATACAGTTTCTGTCCTAATTGCTTACCTGCCACTAATGCAAGAGCAGCCATAGACGATATGTCAACAAATAAGTGTGGCTGTGTTCAAATAAAAAGGAATTTACCACACAAACAGCAAGTCTAATCTGGATAGCAGTTTTGTTGAGGCACGAATGGCTTATATCATCACCAAATAACATTTGATCAGACAACTAAGCTTCACAAAATAAATTAGTAATTGGTAGAAGCAGTTTTATAAACTCAAGGCTCAAAAGGTATCTGGAAAACTCTGGACTCTGTATAGGTCAAGGATATTTCTCAGTGATCCAGTATGTGCTGAATTCAGCTCAGTGGCCAGCAGTCTGCTTTGAGCTTACCTAGTAGGCTAAACCGGGGTATGGTGTATCGACGGTCTGCTGTCTGAAGCAAAGGAGCCAGGTTATGAAACAGGTAAAATGCTCCTGTCTGCTGGGCTTTTTTACATGCATCATCATCTTCTTTCAGTTCAAATAAATACCTGTATTTGGGAAATAAGCCATTACAAGACCACATTTAATTGTAAAGCGTTCATTTTTGAGAACTCTCCTCCTGCATTCCTTTTTTACTACTGTTATTTCCCTTTATTTATTTATATTCTGAATTGCCCCCAAAAGGATGCAAGGCGGCCACAGAAGTCACTCGTTCCTTCTCCCATCCTATTACACACCTTGCCCATACTCCTGTGGTTGCATTATTGTATCATTTCTTCATTTATCTGTCTCCCTGGGAAAACTATGAACTCCTTCAAAGCAGGGTCTGTCCTTCTCCACCTGCATGCTCAGTAATTAGCAGGTTGAATGGCTCAATTCAATAAATATTTACCGAGTTGAACTTCAAGGTACTTTGCCAATATTATACTGTGAGGCAAGAATTTACAGGCAGTGGGTGACAGGAAAACAAGTGCCACGATAACAACATCAACCACAGAATCTTAGAGATGGGAGCAAACACTACCAACTCTCACTCATTCTGGAGAAGACCAGGAACATATTTTACCTTCAATGTACCCTTCTTTTAAATACCTTAGATCCTTATCTTTAAAAAAAAAAAAAAACAAGGTCTCACTCTGTAGTTCAGGCTGGCCTTGAACTCACTTTGTAGCCCTGGCTGGCCTCAGATTCACAGTGATCCTTTTACCTCAGCTTCCTGAGTGCTAGGATTACAGGTGGCATCACTATGCCCAGCCCTCATTAAAATTTTTTTATTGGTACATGTTTGCAGTACATGATGATTACATCATTGTGGGGATTTGGCACATGTACATACCAAATTCTTTTTACTGTCCCACTCTTACCTTAGCTATATTGAAGGGACCACTGATGAATCCTGTGCTTGAACTACTACATAAGGATAGTATTTTCAGGAGCCAAAATAAAAATGTGGAAAATTACATTCTCTTATTGGGTTTCTCAAAAAACATTCTCTCACTGGTTTCTCAAAAAAAGAGATAATAATAAGGCAAGTCCTAGGCTTTTCTAGTACTTTTTAAGGGTAGTCTTATCTTTTTGAGAGCCTTGAGAATCAAATCAGGGTTGATTCCACGTGAATCAGGGTGAATCCACGTGATTCAGCGGAGATTGAATACAGATTCTTCTTGGGGCTTAAGATTAATTATTTTTGCCTTCAAAAATCCTAAAACAGGATCTCAGGAATATGGCATATTTTGTTATGTAAGTAGAAAACACAATTTACAGATATTTTCTATGGGATCTGTGAATGTCCCTAACACCCATAGGCAGAGTTGGTACAAATGAAAATAAAAAACAAAATAACAAATAAATTCCAGTAGTCATCTTTAGGAGCCTACTTTGACCGTGAAGTCAAACGAACTACAATGAGGTCTTTATAAATAGAAAACAGAAGAAACCTGATCTACAGACTTCTGATATTTTTAAACTTATTTTGAGTGATTACAGCCGCATGGGGCAAAGACTCAATGTATGACAAAGGAGAGACATGTGCCACTTTAGAAGTTACCAAATATACACAATAGAACAAACACGGCTGCCTTCGTAAAAGAGACAGTGGTACAACCTGTGCTTTGCCCTAATGACCCTAAACAGCAAAACACCTACAAAAACATACAGGTTAAGGTCTTAAACACAGGATATCACTGGAACTGGAACTGAGATCCAAAAGTTCATACATGCTTCTCAATAAGAAACTTTATTTTTTTATTTCATTTACTTTTTTTAGGAACTCTTCAAAAATTTGTTTTTTCCTTTAGTTATGATAACACGCAAACATTATTAAGGTTGAAAATACTTATTTTTAAACTTTAATTTTTTATGATTATAGTAAAAATAGTCATTGTTTAAAAATTAGAAAATGTAATTTGCTGATTTTTATAAGAAAAGGAAACCATTAGCAACTCCACCAGTCAGAGATGAGCACTGTTTGTAGTCTGGAACACTCCTAACTATGAATATTATGTATCAATGTAGATATGTATATATTTAAAGTCGATCATACCTGCTCATCTGAAGTCTTTTTTTCTTAAACATTTTTAATATCATTGTTTATTGACAAACTTTTTTGTTTTTCTCATGATTTTGATTTTTAAAAATTATTTTTAGTTTTGATTCACTTTAAATATTCCTAACCACTTCAAGATACATAGTTATTATACTTTAGTCAATAATTCTGTACTTTTCTTGAATTTTCAGCCTGAAGAACACAGGCAACCTAAATGCATCAATACCTAAAATAAATATTGTAATTTTGTTATTTGTTTGCTCTTACTTGTGAAGGATTTTATGCTTCTGTGCCACTAAATTTTGGATACACGTGCCACACATGTATCCAGCTCCTGAAGGGCTTTACAAGTGCACTACTAAGGAGCCCCAGAGGTACTGCCAGTCTAAGCTTAACGGTTAAAATTCATTTCTTAGGTCAAGGGTAATCTTGGGCCACATCACACAGATGCTATAAAATTTAAATTCTATAACTAGATGAACGTAGGCTAGTGATTTCAAATGTTTCCAGGATTAGACAAAAAAGTCCTTTATCATTTTCCTTTACTGCAATGTATATATAATTTTTAAAATCCTAGTCTATATATAACTTTTTTACCCTAAACTTTAGTTCTTGGGATAGGGAGTAGAGGATGTTGGAGTTATTCACAGTATTTTCAGGAAATAGTTTACAATGTGTTTATTCAATATAGTTTTGAATGTGTTTATTATTCCTTTATATGTATGGAATTTAATTTCTCCCTTATAGTTCATTCATTCAGTAACACTTCCATGCGTGTTACGCAGTAGTCACTGTTTTATGCACTAAGGGACCACAGTAGAAAAGACAAAGTCTTGACATTTTAGGCATTCTAGATATTGTAGGAAACTTGGTTAAATTTTTTTCAATTGTAAGCAATTTATAATGATCATTCTTTTTTTTTTTTTTTTTTAAATCGGTACTGGGGATCAAACTCACGACCACGTGCTTGCAAGGCAGGCTCTTAAGCCACTGAGCTAAATCCCCGGCCCTATAATGATCATTCTTATGGGTAATTTTATCACACATCTTTAATGTGGGATCTTGAGATATTTCAATTTTATAACAGCACAAAAATAATTAGAGCTCAGGTTGATCAAAACTCACCGTGTCTTAGTGACATAGGTTGACAGCAACCTAGAGCACCATAAATTTCTTCTTGTACAAGCTATTCCACAATACAGAGACATTACCAGGTGCCTAGAGAAAAACAGAAATAAAAGGAATTTAAAAGTCATAGTATGCGAATGAATCACCAAGGAAGTTATATTTTAAGCCAGGATGGGATCTCTTTGCAACACTAAGAAAAGAGAAACTAAATAGGAGATCAGGCTTCTCCATTGCATTCCTACCGTTAACTGGTACTTCCTTTCAAATGTATGAAACTGAAACCTGTTTTGCCATGCTGATAAGTCGTGAGAATCAGCAAATTATCCACTTAAGATATAGATTTCTCCCCGCTTTTTTTTTTTTGGTACCAGGACTGAGCTCATGACCTCACGCTTGCCAAGCAGGCACTTGTGCCACTGAGCTAAAACTCCAGCCCTCTGCCTCATATTGTAAACTTGTGAGCAGGAGGTGGCTGCCAAGCCAAGGCCTCCATCTCCTTCTTTGTATCTAGGAGGGCCAAGGTTGGAAGTGATGTGTATCTCTTCTAGGTGGAAGCAATTAAGAAGTGGATATAAGCTGGCATATGTTGGCGCACACCTGTAATCCTAGCACTCTGGGAGCTGCAGTGGAGAACTGCAAATTTGGGCCCAGCCTAGACAATTTAATGAGAATCTATTTTAAGACTTTAAAAAAGGACAGGAAAAGTAGTTCAGTGCAAAGGGCCTGGGTTCAAAACCCAGTACCAGGAAAAAAAAAAAAAAAAGGAGGGGATATATCTTTTTTTTTTTTTCTCCTGAAGATTATGGTTTAATGGATATATCTTATTTACTCTTTTCCCCTTCTGCTTAGAAGATGTCAAGGGAAAAGACAGGGTTATTAGAGAACCGTGCATCCTTGCCTCACATGTGGACAAAATCTACCCACCAACCAAAGACCCTCTGTGCTGGAGTATTAGTGAAAAATAAACTTCCACCAGATTGGCTGGGAGAAGTAGCTCAGTGGTAGAGTGTGACTTGGTGTATACAAGATATAGGTTCAATCTCCAGCACGACAAAATAAAAATTTCTACTGTACTAAGCCATTGAACGTTTAATATTGAACCCAGGGCCTCATGCATACTAAGCATGAGCTCTACCACTGAGCTATACTTTCAGCCACTGGCCACTGAAATTCTGACATTTGTGTTACAGCAGCTAGCATTATTCTAACAAATAGACCAAGTAAAAAGCCTGGATATCTCCAGAGTAACAAACCCAAGTTTCTCAAAGTAGGTAAAAACCAGAATACCTCTAATGAAAATCTGGTAGGTAAGAAAAATTTTAAATCAAATAGCTATTAGGAAAATATTTCAAAAGACAGCTATGAAATTCATATGGGCCCAAAAATTTCTAACTTTTTCTAACTGTTGGGAAAGAAAAAAATGTCTGAAGCATTCATTGTGTAATTTCCTTCCTCTTTTTAGAAGAGTGCTAGGTATCATACCTAGGGCCTCACTGAGCTATATCCCCATGCCAGTGGTTCCTTTCAGTTTGTGTTAAGCATTTTATTTCCCATGAAAGATACCTTTCATTTTAGGAGTACAAGTGTCAAAAATCACCCTCTTAACTGTGCCCAACAGAAGCAAGCTTTGACATTAACCTACCAAGAGAAGATCTGAAGGGCACGACTATTTCTTGGCTGTATCATTATGAGTCCCTGATTACTAATCCTTGAATAGTTCTGACTGCAATCTGACTGCTAAATATATTTAGCAAATGAGAGTCAACAAAAGATTTATTGGCTACTGACTTTAGGCAAGGTCTCTTTTTTTTTTTTCTTTTTCTTCTGTCTAAGACAGGGTCTTGCTGTGTAGTTCAGGCTGCTCTGGAACTCACTTGCTGCCAAATTGACGTCTAATTTGTGGCAATCCTCCTGCTTCAGCCTCCTGAATGCTGGGATAGGCAAGATCTCTTAAGGAACACAAAAATGTAAAAAATGAAAATCCCTGCCTCAAGGAACCCTAGTAGGTGAGAAAAAAAAAACCTCAAATATATATAACTTTCAGAGAAAACTATGCTTTGTAGGTTGCAAAGCACTCTGAGACAGTATTAAAGGCATAATCCCTTTTTTATTTTTTAATTTTGGAGGGGTGTTGGGGGGTTGAACTCATACCCTCATACTTGCCAGGCAAACGCTTATGCCGCTGAGCCAAATCCCCAGCCCCCATTTTATTTTTTAATTAAAAAGTTTTTGTACTTAAATCCAGAGATTCTTTATTCAAAATATTAGTAATTTTTCAAATACTGGAAAAAACTCATATACCCATTAGCTGATGCATGAATAAAATAATAGTGGTATATCCATACAATAGAATATTACTCAACAACAAAGAGGAAAGAACAAACTAATAAAACATAATAACACAGATGGTCTCAAGTGGTTTAAGTGTGAGAAACCAGGTGCAAAAGATTCTATTAATATTCTAGAAATTCTAGAAATTTCAGATTAGATTGATAAAAAGAGTAGAGTAGGGTTGACAAATATCAGGAGGCAGGAGAAGGTTGATTTTTTAAAAAATATTTTGAGACTCTCATTATGTAATTCAGGTTGGCCTCAGCCTCAGCCTTTCCAGTAGTGGGATCATAGGCATTCATCACTGTGTCCAGTCATGTGTAATCCCTATTTTTAATAATGTGAGGCCTTATGTGATATATTGAAAATAATGTATTTAAAGTCAGTATTTTTGGCTCATCAGAAAACATAAATTGGTACATACTTTTGGAAGTTAATTTAGGGATACCTGTTAAAGAGTTAGATAAACACACCTTTTCACCTAACAAGTCCACTTCCAGGAATTTTTTCCAGGAAGGAATCAATATGTACAAGAATGTTAATAAACTGGGCAAGACTTGTATGTCTAGCTCTTGGGAAATTGAGGCAGGAGGATCATGCATTTGAGGCTGGCCTCAGGTCTATAGCAAGTTCAAGGCTGGCCTGAACTATGTTGCCAGATCCTGTCTCAAAACAAAGAAAAACAAACAAAAAAAGGAATGTTAATTTAAAAAATATTCTAAAGGGAATAATATGTATCTGATAAAAATAGAATGTATTCTCTAAAAGATATAACTGCATATATATTTAAGTGTATAAGATAGATAACCATATTACTGAGTTTTGTTGGATCATTAAACAAAACTGTTTGCAGTCTTACTGTTTGAAAGTGCCCTCTATATGCTTTAATTTTGTAACTTCAACAAATATTTCTAAGATGACAATATGTAATTAACTAGTGATTTCCTACTGTTTATTTTTTCTGAAATTCTGTATAACTTGTACCCTTTTTCTGTTTTTTTTTCTTTTTTCTCCTTAAATAAAATTTAAAAAAAAAATTAAAAAAATAGAATGTAATACAACAATGAAAAATATACATATAGATTATTCAGAATACATTATTAAGAAAAGTACATGGGGTAATGGGGAGATGTTGGTTAAAGGATACAAATTTCAGTTATGATAACAAAGTTTCAGTTATGATAAATCTTATGGAGATCTATTACTTGCATGGTGACTACAGTTAACTATAATAATGTGTTGTGTACTTGAAAATTACTAATATAGTAAATCTTAAATGTCTTCACTACAATAAGATTGACAAGTATGTGAGGTGATACCATGTACTAAATTAAAATCTAAATGGGTCAAAGATCTGAATATTAAAACAGAAACACTAAATCTATTGGAAGACAAAATAGGTAGAAACCTTGGAGACATAGGAGTAGGTAAAGAATTCATGAACAGGACTCAAACCGCACGGGAAATACTTCCCAGAATCAATAACTGGGACCACTTCTTATTAAAAAGTTTCTGCATGTCAAAAGAAATCTCCAGCATAGTGAAAAGAAAACCCACAAACTGGGAAAAGATTTTAGTGAACTCTCTCTCAGACAAGGGCCTCTTGTCTAAAACATATAAAGAATTAAAGAAACTCAGACCTCCGAAATTCAAAGATCCAATCCAAAAATGGGCATCTGAGATGAATATGCAATTCTCAGATGAAGAAATGCAAATGGCAAATAAATACATGAAAAAATGCTCATCATCATTGGTCATTAGAGAAATGCAAATTAAAACCACACTGAGATACCATCTCACTCCTGAAAGAATGGCCAGGATCAAGAAAACCGACAACAAATGCTGGAGAGGCTGTGGGGAAAAAGGAACTCTCCTGCACTGCTGGTGGGAGTGTAGACTGGTACAGCCTTTGTGGAGATCTGTCTGGAGATTTCTCAAAAAGTTGGGACTGGAAATCCCATTTATTCCAGCTATTCCACTTCTAGGCATATTCCCAGAAGAACTGAAAGCATCATACCACAGTGATATATGTGCACCTATGTTTATAGCAGCACAATTTGTAATAGCCAGATCTTGGAAACAACCCAAGTGCCCATCAACTGAGGAATGGATAAAAAAGTTGTGGTATTTCTATACAATGGAGTATTATTCAGCTATAAAGAAGGATCACATTGAGATATTTATCAATAAATGGGCGCAGCTTGAGACCATACTCATTAGTGAAATAAATCAATCTCGCATGTGTGAATACCGAATAGTTTCCCTAATGTAAATAATGATTCAAATATATAAAAATATGTGGTAATCATGATTCCCCATTAGGTGGCCTTGAAGCCTTATAAAGTTTTCACTCATTAATTAGAAAGGCTTTATTCTGGGCTTCTTGATATGAAAATATTTGAAGCTAGAGTATATGAAGTTTTATCCAAATATTTCAAGGAAAAAGACACTATGGTAACTACTATTAAGTCAGGTTATAAGGTGGTGAAGTACTAGGTTGTTGAAACAGTCATGCTGTGACCTCTATTGTTATATTGTTATGTCCTGTTTTATCTCAATCTCCCCCTTATTGTTTCAAAAAAAATTATTTAGTCATTTCTTATGTTTGTCTTAATTAAAGAAAAAATTCAAAAAAATTAGGATATATAAATAGTAACTCTTTTCGATTTCCTATTAACTTGTTTTGAAGTCCTGTAGTACTCCCACGATCTTGTTTTGACTGATTAGACTCTGTTTCATTCTATATGATAGTATCAAGTTTGAAGAAATAGGCAACTACTTTGAAGACAATAAGATTCACTAAGATACCCATTCTGGTTTGACTATTGTCTTCTTTGGAAGTCCTGTAATGTTTACAATGCCTAAGTTTTATTGGTCTTGTTCTCTACTGTTTTGTCCAACTTTATAATATCTAATAAGATAGACAATTCTTTTTAAGGAAACAAGGGACAACGTTGATAACCATTGTTGATAAACTTGTACTCTGTTCTACACCATATGCTATGTCTATCCTTGGTATTGACTGACAGCTTTGTTTTGCCATATTTGACTGTATTCCCCGCCCCCCCCCAAAGAAAGTAATAAGCACTAAGGAGTAATAAAATCCAAGATGTGTAAATTTTGTTGTAAAAAAGAGAGGGGAAAAAAAAAAAGAAAAAGAGTTCTAACGGATATAACAGCAAGTGTGTTTGGGGGTGTTAAATAGCTGACTTTATCAATGTTTTTGGAACATTGAACACAGCTGTTTGCAGTCTCCCTGTTTGAATGTCCACCTTGTGTTCTTTGATACTGTGATTTGAGGAACTATTTTCAAGAAGATAGTGTGTAATCTACTAGCAGGTGATTTCTTACTGTTATGTTTTTTTGTTTTGTTTTGTTTTGTTTTGTAGTTCTGTATTGCGTGTACCCTTATGCCGCTTTGGTTTGTTTTGTGTTTTTCTCTTTTTCCTCTTAAATAAAAAAAAATAAAAATAAAAAATAAACTCACTCCGTGGTACATGGTGAAAAAAAAAAGTATGTGAGGTGATGGATATTTAATAATTTTATAATGTATCCATATATCAAAATATCACATTGTACTCAGTAAATATAATTTTTATTTGCCAGTTACACCTTAACTGGAGGGAAAAAAAAGGAAGAAATATTTGGTTGGTCAACATGATCTATTTAATTTATAAAGAACAATATATATTTATATATTGTGGATTAACTAATGGTCAAATTATAACACCAAGCTGAACTGAGTCAACATGGGAGCCCATGTTTGTGGGGGGCCCACCTGAGGATTGCTGCTGACAGAATAAAGGAACTGGAGGGGAAGATGGTGCGCTGTTGATTCTCCTGATATGAACCCAGCTATTACCATCATTGGAGGAGTTTGGGTCCTTGCTATCACTGAGGTTGATTGTGGTTCTTTTTGGAGTGTACTGGTTCTCACCTTGGGTGTTGTTTCCTGGCTCCAGTGTAGATCTCTCAGCCTGGTGGCACAGAACCTTTCCTCACTGGCACAGACTTCTGAGCTTCCACCACTGGCCTTTGGACCTTCCCGGTGCAGGTCCTTGTTACAGACTTGAATGAGACACTGTTGTGGGCTCTAGGCCTCCAGCTGGACTTTGGAGGCCATTGCCATGGGCTCTAGGTCTTCAGCTGGATTCATGCAGGATACTGTCATGGGATCCAGGCCCTCAGCTGGATTCTCTGAGTCTCTAGAATGTGGACAGATCTCCCTGCATTTGACTTTTTGGATGAGTATTATAAAATAATCCCATAAATTAAGTTCTATATTAAATCAATTCTCTTGCAAATCCTGATTATAATAAAACTGGTACCAGGAATGGAGTCATCACTGTGACATTACCTGGCCATGTGACTTAAAGGCCTTGGGAATTAATTTGTAAAAGTGTTGAGACTGGTCAAAAGGCAGTCCCCATATGCTATAAGGTTTAAGGGAAACTCTGGTCCAGCCCTGGAAAACCAGAGTACTAATGGATATATGAAGCTGGTTAGGATGAGGCTCAGGAAACTTCTGTTGAGAAGGACTGCACTGGCTGCTGGATCCCGAATGGTGTATGTTGTGCTTTGGCAGGAAGTTGGTCTGCATTTTGCTTGTGTTTAGAGATACTGCCTGCGTGGCAGGAAAATTTCAATGCAGTCTACTGTTGGACAGTGGCATGGTTACTGCTGAAGGCTTTTGGCCAGATCTGTGTTGGAAATTAATAGTGGAGGGCCAGAGTATGGACCAGGGAGAACCAGGAAGAAAGAAAAGCCCCTGCCAGTAAGCCAGATGGAGCAAGGAATGGTAAGAACCAGGGAGGAAGCTGAGCCCCAACCTGTGAGCCAGCTGGATCACAGACCGGCAATTCCTTAAGAGGACAACAAAATGCAATGTAGCAACTATTATATATTTCCTATTGTCTTATCACTGTTTCGATTCATTTTATTATTGTTTTATTCCCTTTAAAATTAAATTTAAAAAAAAGTGGAGAGCCAGCAGGGTGATTTGAAGCATTTGACCAGACAGAAGGCTCCAGTGGAGCTGTGGATTGCCAAAGATGAAACAGAGGAGAGATATTCTTAAGCATTTAAGTGTTGCCATGTCCTGTTGTTAAAAGTTAATGGGAAGCAAGGATTGTGATTGTAATAGCTATCTTAATGATTTTAAAGTAGCTTTTAGATACATGTTTGTAATCAGGTTTTTTAGTTAAAGTATTGTGGTTTTAACCTTGAATTTTGAGCACCCTTTTACTATTTGCTTTTGGTGTGGAAATGAACGCAGTTAAGAATTGTATATGTGTAATTATTATATTAATGTAAATCTACATAGTTTAAAACAACTTCACAAATTTGTCACTAGAGACTATGGTTTAAGGAAATGGGTCATTTATCAAGTGGACCAGGGGTAGACTGTGGTGGATTAGCTAATGGTCAATTTATAACACCCAGCTGAACTGAGTCAGCACGGTGCTGGGTGTGGAGGGCTCGCCTGAGGATTGTTACCAACAATGAAAAGAGAACTGGAAAGGAAGATGGCGTGCTGTTGATTCTCTTGAGAAGCTTGTCCTACTGGTTTTCCTGATATGAACTCAGCTAGTCTCATTGGTGGAAGAGCTCAAGTTCTCCCTATCACTGAGGATGGCTGTGGTTCTTTTCAGGGAAGCTCTGATCCTTGCCTCGAGTGTTTTTTCCTGGCTCCAGTGCAGTTTTCTTAGCCTGCTGGCACAGACTTTTAGCTTCTGCCACTGGCTTTTGAGCCTTCCCAGCGCAGATCCTTGATACAGACTTGAATGATACATTGCCATGGGCTCTAGGCCTCCAACTGAACTTGTGCAGGACCTTGCTGAGGGATCCAGTCCCTCAGCTGGATTCTTTGGTCTCTAATGTGTGGACAGATCTCCTGCACTCTTCTGCATTTGACTCTCTGGGTGAGTATTATAAAATAATCTTATAAATTATGTGTTCTGTACTAAATTGATTCCTTTGCAAACCCTGACTACAGCACATTTTCTGCTGTATATAAAAATTAGTTATGTATTAATGTTGTTCAAATGCACAAACTAAACTACTGTGACTAAGCTGGGATAAAGGGAAGGAAATACAGATTGAAAGGAGCTACTTACAACTTTTACTTTATTTATTTCTACATTGAAAAATTTTAAGCTAGTGTACATATTTTTTTAAAGACAGAAAATGTAAGAAAATAATAGTTCTGGGACTAACTGCTCAGTGAGGCTATTTTAAAGTCACTATTCCCAGAAACACCTCACATTATTTCCCATGAGCCACAAAAAGTCTTTTGGTGAGTTCTTGGATCCTGAGAACTGCAAGAACTATTTGTTTGCGGTTGTAACTACTGATTAATATATATGGCCCTCTGTACTTGGCTGCCTGTTGTTTCACAGAGGAAAACAAATTGTTTCTACTGTTAAATTAACCTTAGTTGTTATGTAGATAATCACTGCCTGATCTATTTGTTTTTTAAAGAATGATAAATATGAAAGGTAATTTTTTTATCTAAAACTGATGGAATAAATGATGAAGCAGGGTCTTTAAGATGAACAATTTTTCAGAACCCTCTGTCACACTGTAAATGATTCATACACATTTCCTGTCCTGTTCATAAAACCAAAACAAAACCTCCAAGAAAAGTGAAAAGCTCATCTCTAATCTTCATGGTTAACTTTCAATGTCAAGAGGCAAGGTTCTCATTCATCCAGGGAGCCCTTTGGAAAGACTCCACGTTTCTATGACTGAACCTAAATGGAATGGGCAAGTATGCAAAACTGAGGAATCACTGAAATACAGATTTCAAGGTTTCTGTGACCTTGCTTATATGAAAAACTATGATTTGTATTGTAAAACATAATTTTTCGTCCCTTAATTAGTCCTTGTAGGATAGTTAAGGAAAAAGTTGAGAAGTTAGGAAATTTCATTTTTAAATCTGCCAACAGTTTTAGTTAATGAGAATGCTCCATAAGAGCATTCTGGTTTTTTTTTTTTTTTTTTTTTTTTTTTTTTTTTTTAAGAAACAAAACTAAGCTAAGAGTGTAAAATGCTGTAACCATGAGCTTTTGTCAAGTTCGATTATGCTGCCCTCCTTGCACTTAAAACCTGAACAGGTTTCTTTTTCACTGTACTCACTCTGAATTCTTTTGGGCTGGAGAGTCTGCAGAAACACCAAAAGTTCCACTTTAAACCTTTTCCTTCCACGAGATACCACTGCTGCTTCTGCCACACTTCCCAGAATTCTAAAGACACGCTCTGGGAAATGTAACTTAATCTTTACAACAGTCATTAAAAGTGTGTTTCTGCCACACTTCCCAGAATCCTCTAGAGAAGCACTCTGGGACTAGTAGTTCAGTCCTCAGACATACTACTGTGTCTTTCAACTGCAAAGTTTACATTACCATGGCTATCAAATTCATGAGCATCTAAGATCTTAATACTAAGAAAACTGCTATATCTTTAGAAAAAGTAGCATTAGATCCACTTTTAATAACAAAATGATAGTCATTAAATCCATCCTCATATACAGAATTCATATATTATCAGATTAGGAAAAGGGAGCTGTGCCTATTTTAGAACTAGCTCTAACGTTTCATGTAATTGGCCAATTTAAAAAGATAGGAGGACTTAATATGTTTGAGCTTTTGGTAGAATTTATTCTTTGATCAGTCAAGGGAAATACATGCCACCTAATTGAAATTAGTTCTTCAGGAAAGCTACTTTGGTGCTGCCTTTTCTTACTACTGAAGGTGCTGGCCAACTTCTGACTCCTGAAGTTGAGGGTCTCATTAAGCATATATTTAATGAGCCTGAGACTCTTAAAGGCACATGATACAAGAACATTTCTGTCTCGTGTGACACATGCTACAGGAGAAGACATACAGATAAACAAGTAAGTATACAACTTTCCAAGTGGTTATAAGTCCTAGGGAGAAAAATAAAACAAGAGAATTGATTTTGCCATTTTGTATAGGATGGTCAGCCTCACTGTTAAGACCATATTTGAGTAGACTGAAGGAGGAACAGAGGAAGTAAAACAATGAGTACTATTTATGGGAAAGCACTGGGGTGAGAATAGGTCTTGTAAGTTTGAGGAAATGCTAGGACAGAGCATTGGTCACATAAAGACTTATAATTCTCCAATTCTTGTAAAACTGTTGTGATGTTTTTGACTTTTACTTGGGAAAGGATACCACTAAAGGACTTATGGAGAATGAGATAATCTGATATTATATACTTTATTCACAGTACTGACAGCTTTCACACCAAACTATATGCCCAGTCCTTTTAATATTTTTTTTTTAATTTTGAGACAGGGTTTTGCTAAGTCACCTGATTATTCAGGATGGGCTTAAATTTGTAATCCTCCTGCATCAGTCTCCCAGAATGTGGGGATTAAAGGTGTGCACCACTATGCTCAGCTTGATTTACATTTTAAAAGAACCATCTTGTGTATGGATTGGACTGTAGGAGACAAAGATTACTAAATCTTGAATGTTATTGTTAATGTGTTCCTAGATTACATAGGAAGAAAGCACACATGGTTAGTTGGCTAGCTATTTTTTTTTTTTACTTTTTCCATTAGATAGGAACTGAAGCTTTTTACTAGTTAGATTAATTATTCTTAAGAAAGGTACAGAAAATTTGAGGGAAGCAAGTTAAAAAATCAATGCATTCCAAGGACACGGGGAAGCATACTTAGGAAAAAATTTGGGCTCTGATAATTTAAATAAATAGCTATCAATAGTTAGGTACTATAATAAATAGCAGTCACCTTTCTGCCACTGTGAAATATCGGAGAAAATCAATTTAAAGGAGGCAAGATTTATTTTGGCTAATCACTTCAGAGTTTCAGTTCCTTGTTTCTGTTTTTTGTGCCCGTGGTGAGACAGAACAGGAATGTGTGGTAAAGCAAAAGTGCTTACCTCACAGTAGCTGAAAAGCAAAGAGAGAGAGAAAGGAGTCTGAGACAAAATACAGCCTTCAAAGGTGTGTTTCCAAGGACCTAACTTTTCCAATAAGGCTGCACTTCATAAGTTTCCATTACCTCCCCAGAGCCCTTTAAAGTATGAATCAATCAGTGGATTGAGGCCATTGATGACATTAAAACACTCATGATCCAGTCACCTTTAAGAGGCCTCCCTCTGAACACTGAGAAATTGGGGACCAGGCCTTCAACACAGGAGATTTTGAAGAATATTTCAAATTCCAACCAGAAGAATAGCTAAGACTGAGCATTTACTTAACATTTGCTGCTCAGTCTTACCTATTGCTAAGTGTTTCACACATTTATTGTTAATGATTACATCCTGTGAGATACATATTAATATTTGCACTGTAAAGACAAGAAAAGAGGTTTAGCAAAGTTAGTTTGTCCATATTCACATAGCTAGTCAGAAGACACCTAAGGGTGTCTGACTTTAGACAGAACCTGTTCTTTTGATCACCATAATGTATAATAGACCTGGGTTGTATCTGATGAGATTTGGGACAGGAAAACTGAATATAAATAATAAAGACTATTGGGTTGATAGAATCCCTTATTCATAGATTGGAAGACTTTAAATTTTGTTAAGATAGTCGTATTTCTCAAATTGATCATCAGATTCAAAGCAACCCTCAAAAAAATCCAGACTGCTTTTTCATAAAAGGTATATAAGAAAAAAATAGGACTTTATCCAAATTAAAAACTTTTGTACTACAACAGTACCATAGCTGGTTATGATGATGCATGCCTGTAACCCAAGCACTTGTGAGGTTGAGGCAGGATCCTATGAATTTGAAACCAGCTTGGGCTATACAGTGAGTTTAAGTCCAGCCTGGACTACATAATGAGGCCCTGTCTCAAAAAAAAAAAAAAAACCCTATGAAAACAAAATAAAACAATACCATCAAGAATATGATGGGCTGGGAATATAGCTTAGTGGCACAGTGCCTGCCTGGAAAGCGTAAGATTGTGAGTTTGATCCCTGGTACAAAAAAAATGTCAGGCACAGTGGTACCACCTATGATACCAACTACCTGAGAGGCTGAGGCAGAAGGACCACAAGTTTGAGACCGGCTTAGATAATTTAATGAGCTCCTGTCTCAAAATCAAAACAAAACAAAAGCAAAAACAGGACTGGCACAAGAATGTTTTTAACAAACAACTCTATAAAGACAGATAAATTATTGCTTCAGGATGGGGCAGTTTATTTTAAATATATCTAGAGATTGATTGCATTCAAATGAAATATTCCAAATGTATGAATCTCTGAGACAAGTAGTAGATTAGGGGTTCCCTGTGGGGTGGTGGGGTTGTGTGTTTGAGATAATAAGGAATGACTGCTAATGGGAACAGGGTTTTGATTTTGTGGGGCTTTTTCCTTTGTTCTGAGTGGTGAGATTTTTCTAGAATTGATTGTGGTGTATACAGGCTAGGGATGTAGCTCAGTGGTAGACCGTCTTGTTTAGCATGCCCTGGGTTCCATTCTAGCACCATAAAAAAAGTCTATTCCAGATTACTACACAGCAAACTGTTATTACTTTGAAATTAAGCATATCTAAAGAAAGATGATGTTTATTTCATGACTTAAACTACCAGGATTAGAGTTACTAATATCATATCTTTTGTGTTTATTAACCATTCACTATAATTGTTTAGTGATTTGGTTGTTACTTTTAACAGCTTTATTGACTACTTTAACAGCTATACATGCAATATGCCCACTTAAACTGTACAATGGATGATCTTTACTATATTCACAGAATTACCCAATCATCACCAAAATCAATTTATGCTTCTCTTCAAAAGTAAAGTACAGTAGTTTTTCCTCCACATCATCTTCCCAAATATGGAGTAATACTTCACACACAGTAGTGAACAGATCTAAGATTAAAGGTCATTCTGAAGTCAAGATGAAAAAGAACAGAGCATACCAAGGTCAAAACTAACTTGAATACATTGAACTTGTTAGTACTACAGTACATACTATGGCTATTTGATTGATGAAATTTTAATATAAAAGTTAAAGGAATTCACTCAGGGATATCTTACTATATTTTTGACAATGGACTGCCACCTGAATTCACTGGTTACACTACTGTTTATAACAAACCACACACTGTTTTTACTACTCAATACTGAACCAATTCCAGGTCCTAAACTCTGAGTCTTACTTCACCAAATGAAGTTGAGATTTCTGGCACTCTTGCTGGGTGTGTTTGAGCTCCTGACAAGTTTATCTGGACGGAAGAATGCACAGACTGGCCAAGTCTTACAAACCTTTTAGACAGCCAAGTCAGATTCTATTTATTTATAAATAGAAGTATTCTTCTCAAATGTAATTTATTGTTTTCAGTAAAATACTTCTTTTAATTTGTAAATTTCCTTATGCTTGCTAGAATAGTTAGTGGATATTTTCCTACAAACTATAGAGTTTGAAAATATTTAAATAGGTGTTTTTAGACAGGATCTTGTTTTGTAGTTCAGGCTGACTTTGAACCTGTGCTACCTCAGTGCTGAGTTTAAAGGTGTGTGCCACCAACCCCAGTGAAAATATTTAATACTTACAATTGAAACTATCTATATTCAAAGGGCAATCCATTACCAAGAAAAGATACTGTACCAGAAAATGTAAGAGGAACAAATGGAATCTGCTATGGCTGTCATGCTACCCATAAATTTTTACACACCAAAATGAATAAACGACTGTGCCTCATTCACCAGTATATTTCTAAATCCAAGAAAGGTTCTCAGTTTTTTTGTTTGATTTTTATGGTTTTTGTTTTGGTAGTACTGGGGAATGAACCTAGGGCTATTGTATTGAACTACATCTCCAACCCTTTAAAAAATTAAAAACAAAAATTGAGATTAGTTCTCGCTAAATTGTTGAGTTGCCCTTGGTGGGCTTGAACTTACTTTCAGCCTCCCTGTATCAGCCTCCCAGGGTGCCCAGCTATGTTCTTAGTTTTAAATATAATCACCTTGGGCCCATTTGGATAATCCAGGCTAATCTCCCACCTGTAGTACTTAACTGTATCTGTGAATTCTTCCTCTATGTAAGATAACATATTCATGAGTTCTAGAGATTAGGCTGGGGAGCAGTCATTATACTATGACCATGAGAATCCCACTTCTACTGAGACCACATGAGGTGGGCGTATCTGGCTCTTCCAGGCTGGCTATTTCTCACAGCACAGAGGCAGGATGTTAATAACTAGAATAGTTTCCACTTTCCGCTGTATTCTAGATTCCCTCATCTCTTGACCATCATGTGCAAAGATAAAGATCCTATTAGTGCTGTTCCCAAAGCTTATTCCTATGTTCAATGACATGTAATTTGCAAGAAAACCTATTTTCTTACATTTTTCTTTGTTAAAAGTAAATAATACATGCATATCTATGTTTATAGCATCACAATTCATAAAAGCTGAATCTTAGAAGCAACCTATATGTCCATCAACAGACAAATAGATAAAAGAAATGTGGTATTTATAAATGATGGAGTACTGATCAGCCATGAAGAATAAATCTGAGTCAAATGGATGTATCTTGAGATAATAATGTTGAGCAAAATAAATCAGACACAGATGCTTAAGTATCACGTGGTTGCATGAGAAATCCAAAGTACAAACAAACTATAGAGCTAAATAAGAAATTGATAGACAGTGGGAAGCAATGAGATAGATCTTTTGCAAAACCAAGAGATGGGGTGGGGGGGAAGAAAAAGAATTAAGATGTGCTCTTTCATGTGCTATGCTCATGTACCAACTCCCTATGAGAAATGTAATTATGTACTGCAAACATGTACTAATTTTTTTAAAGGGTAAATAATATGTTAGTTCTTGCTTAAAATACTTCAGTGCCTTCTTATTATACTTATTATAGTACAAATGAGTGCCCTGCATAATCTAGATTGCATATCTTTCCAATCTTCTCTTACAAGTTTCTTCGTGCCTTACTATACTAAAACTATACTGAATTTCTTTTGGCTTCTCATATGCTCCAAGGTTTTCTTGCTACATATCATTTATTCTATTTCCTACATTTTAAAAAAATTTTTTTGTCTTTTTTTTCATTTTTATCGGTACCAGGGATCGAACTCACAACTACCTGCTTGCAAAGCAGATACTTATGCTGCTGAGCTAAATCCCCAACCTCTTATTTCCTATATTTAAAATGTTCTTATTCATAACTTTAGTCAACTCAGGCTATTTAAACATCATTTCTTTAGAGACACTACATGTTATCAATCTGAATTTTGTCTTTTTTCCCCTTAGTAACTTGATAATTTCCTTGTTATTTTTACTTATCAAACGTGTATCCAGCCGGGAATGGTGGCACACTCCTGTAATCCCCGCTCTCTGAAGAGAACCACCATGACTTCAAGACCAGCCTAAACTAGAAAGTGAGACCCTATCTCAAAAAATCCCAAACCAAAAATAAAACACCCAAAATGCATCCAAAAGTAGTGAATGTGTAAAATTTTTAAAATTTTCTATGTCAAAGGAACACTGCTATTAATCTTCCTCAAGATGCTCCCACCCTTATGGCT